GCCCACCTGTACACCATGCCAACGTCCTCTCTCTCCCTCTGTGTGCGCGCGCGCACGGGCGCCGACGTGCACCAAATCTTTTGTCAAAAACCGTCACAACAACAGCTACACACAAGTTCCTCGATGCACAGACAGGTAAAAGCAGACATACACGCAATCAAGCAGATACTCAGAGGACAATGCATGCGAAGGCAGGAGCTACACAAACAGATGACTAGTAGACTGACAGCCCCATCAAATCACACTCGCTTCCACTCTCTCCATCACAATGCATTCACATCAAAACCAGTGACCATGTGGAACATTTCACTCACTAGACTATGAGCTGTCAGCTACGATCTACCATACAATGGATACACCAAACAATCATCCTATAAACCATCACATCCACATACAACACCATCACCACAAACATAACAACAACACCATACGTAAGTACGTACATACACTGAATGAATATACAGTGCATATTCTTTCGGAGGACAATTTATTCCACATAATATCAATCAATATTCATCTAGACAGAGTCTATGAAACAATCCTCACTGTGGATAAACACATGTTGACCAGCCTCACTTCATGCAGTTCACTCATACCATGAATCAGTGTCACACGAGACGCACATCCCATTGACCACACACACACGCACTCGAGTGGGTGGATAAACCACTTCCAAAAGGCAAACAACAATCTATCTCTCCCACACACCCTCTTCCTTCTCTCAATTACGCGAAATGTACACACCAACAGAATGAATAATAAACCTGAAAGGTGGATAAGGTAAACAACAAAATCCAACATCCATTGAACTACTTCTTGCACTCCATCCACTGAATCTACTCACCAGGAGTGATACACAAATTAAACCATCTTTCACGGTGATGAAGACAAAACACAACAATTCATTCAAAGGCCAAACACTACACATATCCTGGAGGAACACTTTAGGGGATGCAGGCATCTAGGCGCTGGCTGTTTAATCAACATAGACAACTGGATGCATCAACAAGAGTCGAGTTGAACTGTAAGCAAAAATACGGACAGACTTGTCTTCTTGAAACCGAAGATCAGAGAACCAGTCACACAATCAACTTGCTTGTATGAGCATACACGATGAGTTGGCAAGGATGTAAGGAGGATTTAAAGGATGTGTTGGGTTGACTGAGAGGTTGGCGGCTACATGGGAGTGGGCATTGATTTTGTGCACGCGAGCGCATGTCTATGTGTGCATTTATTCGACAATAATGAATGTCTCACAATGCTGGCACGTAGAATGACGAAAATGCAAACCACTCCTGCCGGAACCCGGGATCGAACCGGGGACATTTAGATCTTCAGTCTAACGCTCTCCCTGCTGAGCTATTCCGGCGACCCTTAACAACACATTCATCACTTCTATCAACCGTCACATACACTTCCTTATGTCACACAAAACGCAAAACAACAACTAATTAAAACAAAAGCAACATTCACACACAAAACAATTCTCAACATCGACTCAACAACTAAGTCCAATGGACAATCAGCCAATTGTCTCTTAAAACACACACACACACTCAAAGTATACAATACACCCATCAAACCATCTCAATCAACTGGTCACCATAGCACATGATAAACACACACTAACTAGGTCGTTAATGCTCTCCCACTGCATATCCATATCTCATCAACACCTTCACAAAGCAGAAATAATACTCCCTATCCTCATACACGGTGACACACTCACTTATCTCTGCATTTCGCCTACTCTTCTTCACAAGCATCCAGACAACCTTGGCTACGCTCGAGAAAAGTCTACATCAATTCCACCACTCCATACCATGGAATCATGGATAATTTGCATGCTTCATGAAACTGTAGTCAATTCACAAATCGGTCGCCTCACTTGTCGGCTATACATTCAGACTACTCAAATTCACTCAACCACAACACCAATCTGGGCCAATGCATTCCCATTCCCAATCAATGTATCTCCGACATAATTACAATAAACGGATTGATGTAAATCAATTGGCAGAGTTTGTCGATGCTGATACCTCGACTGCGTGTATCATGCTTGGCTTGATCATCAGTCATTTCATTCAACTGAAAGTTTGTTTAAATCCTTCGGTGTGTCTCGCTCTGCTTTGTTTTCTCACTACTCCACACTTTATCACGCAGCGCTGAGTGTGTCATATCATTGTTTTCGCTCACCCAATACAGATGATTAGTCAGTGTTATTTAAGATGTTGAAAGGTTCAATGTTTAACTCATCGCATCGATCGACTATTCACAGACACTCGACTGAATGTGTGCAAATCCTAGTTGAGTTGATTAGCTTATCCACATATATTTCAGTCAGCACTGCTTCCACTCGGTCTCACACCACTCCTCGCCTGACTACCACCTTCACGTCGAAGTGGATGTGTTATGCAAAGTGGAAAGGGACAGAGGTGACTAGGTTGTCTAGACACTAATGTCTGATGTCTCGTTCTCATGCACTCACGTGTAAAGAATGGGAGATCTAGGGGGTTAATGTGAACGCTTACCCTGTTTGCTGGTGTCACCAAGCCTCAGCTCACAGTGATCATCTCGTGATGACTTTGTCAGTACAATATTGGGGTGTAATAAGTGCGAAGTGATGTGTCCGGAGGTTGGTCAACTAAAATCCCTCCCGCGCCGGGAGTCGAACCCGGGCCGCCTGGGTGAAAGCCAGGAATCCTAACCGCTAGACCACGCGGGATGACCGCACATCCAACACCCATACCCAAACACACAGACCATTCAAAACAAATCATCAACATTCTCACAAAATTATTCAACAATCATACACAATCACCAACACACTTCACAATACACTCATCACATACAATATACAACACTCATAATCTTCATCCTCATCCGTCGATCATGCGGAACACCACATCAACACTGCGATACACAGTCACACCTCCCATCAACAGGAAAACACTAGTGAGCAAAACATTACGAGTAACAACACGCTCACAAATCAACACCACTCTCCACTACCCACTTCGGTGGCACAAACACAAATGCATGGCCACCTGCCCCATCTCCCTCCTCAATCTGCCTATCGGCCCACCTGTACACCATGCCAACGTCCTCTCTCTCCCTCTGTGTGCGCGCGCGCACGGGCGCCGACGTGCACCAAATCTTTTGTCAAAAACCGTCACAACAACAGCTACACACAAGTTCCTCGATGCACAGACAGGTAAAAGCAGACATACACGCAATCAAGCAGATACTCAGAGGACAATGCATGCGAAGGCAGGAGCTACACAAACAGATGACTAGTAGACTGACAGCCCCATCAAATCACACTCGCTTCCACTCTCTCCATCACAATGCATTCACATCAAAACCAGTGACCATGTGGAACATTTCACTCACTAGACTATGAGCTGTCAGCTACGATCTACCATACAATGGATACACCAAACAATCATCCTATAAACCATCACATCCACATACAACACCATCACCACAAACATAACAACAACACCATACGTAAGTACGTACATACACTGAATGAATATACAGTGCATATTCTTTCGGAGGACAATTTATTCCACATAATATCAATCAATATTCATCTAGACAGAGTCTATGAAACAATCCTCACTGTGGATAAACACATGTTGACCAGCCTCACTTCATGCAGTTCACTCATACCATGAATCAGTGTCACACGAGACGCACATCCCATTGACCACACACACACGCACTCGAGTGGGTGGATAAACCACTTCCAAAAGGCAAACAACAATCTATCTCTCCCACACACCCTCTTCCTTCTCTCAATTACGCGAAATGTACACACCAACAGAATGAATAATAAACCTGAAAGGTGGATAAGGCAAACAACAAAATCCAACATCCATTGAACTACTTCTTGCACTCCATCCACTGAATCTACTCACCAGGAGTGATACACAAATTAAACCATCTTTCACGGTGATGAAGACAAAACACAACAATTCATTCAAAGGCCAAACACTACACATATCCTGGAGGAACACTTTAGGGGATGCAGGCATCTAGGCGCTGGCTGTTTAATCAACATAGACAACTGGATGCATGAAGAGGGGTCGAGGTAATTTTGTACCTTGGTTAATTTTGCGCTATTTGGGTAATGGTTGGAGTTGGGATAGGCTTTTACTGATGATTTTATTTGACGGTTGATGTAGGTTTTTTTGTTTGAGGGTAGCTTCACGGTGATCACGGCATGATTTGCGGAGAATTGGGAGTTTAGTTGGAAAATATCTGTGTTTGATGTGGTGTTGAAGCTGGAGTTTATAGGAGCTGTATGTCGGTATGGTACTGTTCGTGATATAAACTTTATCATGTATATATCGTTTTTATGTGGAGAGTAAGAAAGGTATAGATGATGGTTTGAACAGGGAGGATGAAATTTTACTACCTTTTCAATCTATTTGCACCCTATTAACGATTTAAGATGTTACGTAACCCTTTTTTGTTATCATTCGGCCTTTATGTCATAAAGTAGGAAGAATTATGTTATTTTAACCCCCCCCCTATTAAATCTTCCTCAAGGATTACAGTATCTAAAGATGGTATATATATATATATATATATTATATATATATATATATATATATATATATATATATATATATATATATATATATATATATATATATATATGAATGTACAGCCTGAGAATAAATTCGTTGAAAAGAGTCCTGTTCGCTGAATATTTTGTTTTTTGACAGAAAACATTCTGTATGAATCTTCCTGTTCATGTACGGAGGATGGTTTTGTTGTAGGTATCAAACTTATACATAGATACAGGGTCACTTTCCTGTAATTTAAATAAACTTCACCATGCATATTTTTATTTAAAATATCTGTAATATTGAACATAATATGTGATTATACACGAACAGTGAATAAGTAAAGTAGACTCGAGTAGTGTTTTTAGAATAAAGCTAGTAAACGGTAAAAAGGTATAGATATAAATCTTATCATATACTTACACGTATATATTTATTAAGAACACGTTGTTTTAATGTTTTGACTAGATGACTTTTCATTAAGGTTTTACTCGAAGAATTTTCATTGGGCGATATATAGTCCGCATTGCCATCACATACAAGTCGTTCTGTGGAGCATATATCCGATTCTTGGTAGTTTTTTTTTATTGACCATGTAAAATAACACAAAATAAGACGTGAACATAGACTATTGGATAAGGCAGAACGTAAGATGAATTTTAGATAGCTCAGAGATCCTGGTGGTAAATAATCAGTAAACATCGCAAAAATTGTCAGTCGAGAAGAAATCCAAGCAGGGAAAATATCTGTAACTACGGTAAATAAATTCAGCAATTTGTTTCTGTCTATAGAGAGAGATATAGCATAAATAATAATGTTATTGAAACTGTTGACTTCATCGGATATCTCGATACGTGTTGGATTGAAACATCACCACCAAGTGTTTGTAATAATTAGAAATCTATAGAATATCAGTATTCAGCTAGTGAGTACTTATTCAACTAACTGATATTCATTGAAGAGTTTAAAACAGGCACTAATTTCAGTGTGTTTATAATTGAAATAAACTAATGAACAACTTGATTAGTTAGGAATTACACAAGCTGATCTACAGGTTTCGCCCATCAGATAAGAGGAGTTTTAACAGTAGACAGCAATTTCCCTTATCAGCTGTGGACCTAGAAAAATTTAGCTCACAGAACAGAACTATTTAAATCACCTGGATTTGGGTAACTGACTTGCATGAACCGGTATACCCTAAATAGAATGATCAATTTGCAAATGGTTTATGAATTACACAGTCTACCTGCGTTGGCATTTCTGAGTTCAAAATTGCTGTAATGGAGAAATTACAAGTCACTAGGTAAAGCCAATACAAAGGTAAGGGTTTTCGCAGACTACCAAAGAAAAAAACTAAAATGTAGTTGACCGCTGCCTTATTACAACTTCGCGATTACATATTCGTGAACATTTGAAAATTGACGATAAAAATACAATATACATACGACAGTGTAGGAAACGACAAAGCCTGAGATGCAGGAAGGAATCCTTATTATAACATTTTGTATAGTATTGATGAAATATTGTACACTTTTCATTGAAATAGTCATTTGGACGATGCGTTTCATTTTCTCTTCTTCACCTACCTCGATTTGACCTTCAAACAACCACACTGTTTCTTGCATTTCTCTGGACAGAATATTTTCTTATCGCTGTTAATTACCTATGACTTCTACCGACTTCTGGACATATACTACTTATATCCATTCTTATCAGTAGTACCCACTACACTGGCAGCTAACCTTGAAAATGACTTAATAGGGGCTGTCAAGTCAGTTTCGCTTACGAAAATCATACTATTCAAACTATCGACACTTGCAAAAACAAAAGTTATTATCAGATGTTACATAAAGTAGGTATAATTTGCAGCCCAGTGTTTGCATGACAGGATAACTGGTTGATAATCAAGCGTTATTTTCTGCATGTGCAGGTTATGATGGTATGCCGAAATTGATTAGTAAGTAGAGTGGAGAAACAAGGGAATATACACACGGTGATGGGATCAATTCGATAGAAATTAGAGAAAGGTCGTAAGTAAACACGCTAAACTTTGTGTGAAGTCACGGAGAGAAGCAAATTGTAAGCATTCCCCCACACTTCCAGTTCCTCCCAGTCTAGAACTTTACCAACAAGATACTTTTTCTCAAATACGGAAAGAATACATGGAAATATAGTGAGATTTGCTACGCTTAAAACTGTGTGAAGAATGTCATATAAATGTCAACATTTGTTACTCAATAACTATTAGTTGGTTAGTGTCCATGAAAACAACACTGGAAAACAAATTAAGGAGGAAATGTAAAAACACTTGACTATGTGAGAAATTGTAGTAAATAAGTAAACGACTCAAAGTCAAATATGAAAAACGAATATCCATTTCAATAATCTCTCCTCAGGTTCTACAGTTTTAAAATCAATTTCGTTCACAAATTAATAGGTGAAATTCTCAGAGAACGCATCTTAGAATGGGTACGAAATTATAAATACAATTACATTCTTTAAATTTGGGGATGTTAGTGTAATTGTGATATATGTATGACGATTGCGGTGATAAGTTGAGTGCAAACCTCGTCAGTTGATTGCTGATCTAATCTCAGCTCATCATGCATATACCTATTGAACTGTTCCTGTGGAACAAGTTATATAGGGTGCACTATTCGAGACATCTGTCTCAGAATACGAGATCTACAGACATGGTTTGCAGCAAATGGTGAGATCAAATCCATTAGAAGTTCTATAATGGCACAGGACACTAAATGGATGCTAGCAGAGTTTTTACTGTGAAACACTGCGCTCCGAAGACTCTGCCATCTGTCATTCATTTATGCATTCTTCATGTAGTGGGAGCTGGAGCTGTAGATATAAGATCAACGAAACCTAATTTTTGATTCAAAAAAAACACGTTCAAGCCCTACTCTTCCCTTGGGGCGAATGCATTGTAGAATGGGTATGGAATATAACTACAATTAGATTTTTTAGTTTGAATAAAGTAAAAAAAAAAATAATAGTAGCGGAATTAGCACGCATGTATTCCGTGGATTTTCATCAGCTGCTTTACAACCTATAGAATATACTGTTTAGGAAGAATATTATGTTATACAACGTACTTTAATAAATCGACAAGAAACCCGTCTATTTACGCGTTGCATTCAAAGGAGAAGAAATGGCCATAAAGACGAATCATAGAGTGAGTGCTGCGTGTATCAGACTAAATGCTCACAATGATAGTCTAAAGTGGACAAATTCCCAACTCTTGCTACCTCCAACTGTATCTACCAACGAACATGTACGTGCCAAAGCACATCGGAAGAACAAAAAAAAGGGTTCTCGTCTTCATTTCTGAACATATCCCGAAAAAAATGAGTTTTAGGGTGACTTTCAAAATCACCCTAGCAACTATTGGAACAGCCAATCAGGTCGCAGTATTTCGGTTAAGCAGTTACATTTCCGTAAAATACAAAACCATAATTGGTTGTCTTAACAGTTGCTGGGGTGACCTTTAAAGTCACTATATTTTCAGAACGATACTGTCGTCAATCTTGCATTACCCTGGTAAGTTTAATCTTGTAAACTTGCAAGTACAAGATTTCATGACCCTTAGTTTTTTTGCACTTGATTGTTCAATCTATTTCACAATCTACTCTCACTTTCTGACTTGCTTTAATGTTATTTCTCAATATAATGAAAACCAGTTGACCTTTTACTATGTTTACTTAACCATGACGTCCTTTTTACTAATTCTAGAATAACACTGTGCACATTTATACGTATACATTTACATTATTTTTTTTCCCTATCTTCTCTCGAATATTCATTCTAGAACAGTGTATAAATAGTTAACCATTAATTAATCTTAACAACTTCATCAATGTCGGTCAACCTAAATCTTTGTTACCTCGCATCTTAATTCATATAAGATTTCGTATATAGATTTCGTTGTATAGCATAATATTCCTCATAAACAGTATATTCTATAGGTTGTAAAGCAGCTGATGAAAATCCACGAAATACATGCGTGCTAATTCCGCTACTATTGTTTTCGTACCCATTCTAAAATGCATTCGCTGCAAATTTCACCTATTAATTTGTGAACGAAATTGATTCTAAAACTGTAGAACCTGAGGAGAGATTATTGAAATGAGTGTTATTGCTTCATATTTAACTTTTCATGTATGAGATAAGAATCTGTAAGGATTTGAAACTAAACAATCATAAGTGAGCAGGAAAACGAGTTTTCTGAGTTAAACGAAAATCGTTTGCATAATGACGATATGATAATTAAAAGACTAGTTAAGCTTAGGAATTGGGAAGTTTAAGAAGTGAATAAGCACAGGGAATAGCCAAGCTGGTTTTTGGATACACAATGCCAGATCCGATTTTTGTGTTATTAGAGCATCAGCAATGGAGAGTGAACGTTTCTTCACACCCTTCGAAAGACTACTTCATGCTTTGTGGACTAGTGCAAACGAATCTATTGGAACTATGTGTGCTCTCTGTCAATCAAATGTTGTAATATGGAACTGTTAATTGATCTGCATTAACCTTTACTGAGCCATGCTGGAAGGCGTTGGCATCAATGTTTGACAATCTGCTCCTGTGTACAGCCTATGTAATTAGCTCCACAGGAACGGGTAAAATTGAATTATACACGATCAAGGGGTTAGTAGTGACAGTTTGTACTTCGTACACTATTGAGCTACTAGTTTAGGTTACTTGCATAGTAGTTGCATAGAATGCAATAAAGCATTTTCTATTAGTAAAAAATGTTTTCGATGTTGAGCAAGGTTCTCTTAACTTTCTAATATGACTCTAAAAGGATTGAATGAAGTGACAGTCGAAAGTTTTAGGAAGCAGAGATAATACTGTAAAGATTACAAACAACCAAGTAGTGTAAGTAAAGATGTTCCAAGTTAGCAGTTCAAATATATTAAAACGCATGTATACCGCTATACAAATACCTAAAATAACTCAAAGTAAACACCCAAGACCATTTAAATTCATTATTGTGCGAGTAAAACTTCAGTACCTGTGATTCTGCATAAATTTCGTGTTAATTTGTTTGTCAAATATTCCATGAAACCACACATAATCACACAATAGAATTGGTCATAGAGACAGTCTTAAAAACTAACTTATCAGAGTGGGGGGAGAGATTGGTAACTGAAGATATGTTTATGGAGTCAACACACTGAATGCATACAATAGGAATGACTCAACATCTATTTCAGATACTCGAAAAAACTATAAATAAAGAAAATTCCAGGCGTATTCAGTAACTTGGTGGAGTAGATAATAAGTCACATTTTTTATGTGAGAACTAATGATAATATCAAACTACCCAAAGGTCGGTAAGTAGAACAAGATTCGAACCTGTGACCCACTGGTTGAAAGTCAACTGCCTGTATTAATAAGCTATAGATCCCCCTTACTCATATGACAAATGAAGGAAAAGACATGAGAACTATAAGAAACAAGATGTGAAAGATGTGTACCTTTGTTATAAATATGAACACTAAATTAGGTTCGAAATGGCGTTCAGTAAATAATACTATTTTCCTGTGTGAAATATCCAACAGATAAATTAAAATGAAATCAGCTAATTTGGTTGAAGATAGGAGTTGGAGAGACTAACCTACTTAAAATATTTCAGGAAAGTAAATGCTGTAAATAGAAGAATCAGATCCCACTTTTAGGATGTTAGGGAAATAAATGACTTTGAAGGTTATCAACAAGAACTACATCAGTCAGAGAACCAATGAATTCAAGAAGAAGTGAATAGTTATTTTATCTCAGTTTTGGACACCATAACTTTATATGGGATCGGTTTAAGGAACTTGAGATTCCATGGTAAGTACATTATCACCCGGCCATTTGCTTCAAATGCCATGACTCACTTTTTCCAACAAATAAACCTAGATTACGTGTATTTTTGGTTTCTCATCAACTAAGCGTAATATGTAGCGTGATGAAAGTTAGTATGTTCCTACATTAGCTGCCTTATTCAACAACAGCCTAGAAACAGTTTCCTTTGACTAATTTATAATATCAATACAAAGATAAGTAGAACGGTGCAACATATCATATCACAGTAGCATAAAAACTAGTAAACATACCTGATGGTGCAACCAACTGATCATTTTTAGGGACTAAACTATGTTGGGATGATTGTGAAAGATGTGGAGAAGACAATGAAGAACCCGTTGTAACCGGACGAATTGTTTCATTATCAGACGAAGATCTAGTTAAACTAGAAATATGGTTTAGCGTTGTTTGCATATTCGTACTAAAATAAACAATATAAATCTGTTTCAACTGATACATATTAACAATACTGAGCAAATTGTATGCTTGTACAGATAATTTAGTTGAGAACACTTTTTACAGAATATACTGTGAAATCACAATGTTATACCAATTCGATCATTGACTAGTTACGTATTTCTGAGAACTCAATACAACATGGACACCCATGGATACCCATATTGTGAAGCGATAAAGCAAGAGAGGCAGAAAGAGGAAGATAAAAGATAGGAAACTGATCGGATTACACGATACTGTTATACAGTGGATACAACAAACCTTTCAATATTGTGGACTGGAAAAAAGCATAATGAAACTACAGCATAACCGCTAGTACTTTCGACCCTGAGCGATAAAACTAAATTATATGTATAAGCTAACCAAAACATTCCATGGAGAAGATTACTGACTTCAATGGCTACTGACTATTGGTATGACTTATTGAATTTCAAGGTGGACTAGTGATCTTGAAAGGGTCGATCTGTGTCAATATGAAATCATTTCAGAGATATTTAGGTTGAGTTTCATCATAACAGTATGCTATCAGTCAACGACATTCAATAGTAAACACAAGCGAATGGTTTATAAACAAATAATCGAATACAAAGCATCTTCATACAATAATGAGAAGTCCTAAATGACCAGTGCAAAATAATTGAGCTGGAGAAATAAATTTTACTGAGGAATGAGTGCATCATTTTGAGTACCGATTACCCAGTTAATCGAAGATCTTAGGGATGGTAAGCTTAACGGCAACCTGATTCAACGTTTGCAGAACCCACCTCTTATCTATGAAAAGTTTTATGTATTTCATACGATCAGTGATGAATGAATTAAGCAAGTACTTCTAGTTTGATGGAAACTGGATCTATACAGACCAGTTATATAAGCAAGCTAGTGAGACTTAAAATAAAGGTGAATCATACGAAGATGGTCACCTAAGCAACGAGCTGCATGTGAGTGACTACATAAGAAGTCGAATTAGCCCCCCCCCTGCCCCCAAGAATTAACTTTACAACCAATGTCTTCTGTTATAAACCAGAAAAATAAAACTAGTCACTGTCAAAAACCTTGGATAGAATCCACACAAATGAAGTGACATACCATTCCCCTAAGATAAAATGTAGAAAATAGAAAACAAAGAATGGGAAAGACCAAGCACAGTATGTAATAAATAACAATAGACGTTGGAACAGTGCATTAAATGTTTGATAAAGAGGAAGGCAGACAAGTACACCAAAATACGAGGTGGTAACAAATACATTCCCCATCTCCTGTTACTCTTGAATAAATGCGTATTAAGATTGAAATCAAACAAACATAGATGGCAATCAAATCTACAGGGCCCATAAAGCAATAGGACAAAGACATCAATGAAGAAAATCCCTCTTTCCATCTTCAAAAGCTGTACAATGGTAGTTATACATTTGTTGGGATGGAGAATAACAAACTCATTTGTGTGTATGTTTTATTTCTACTCTGAGTAGAATCGTGAATGGACTGTCATCAGTTTGGCCATCAGACAGCCATCGCTATCCGGACCCATAGTGATACTGAGTGATTACTGAAGGTGAGATGCAAGTCTGGGCTGTGACAACATTCGAACCGGCGACCTGTGGGTTACCTACCCGGTGCTCAACCAGATTAGCTATGATCCCTCCGAGGGACAGGCTTTGAAATCATCTTCAAACATTACCCTGTAGCAATCCATTATCAGCAATTCATTAGCTTTTCACTAAAACGTTTAGAATTCTGAAGTGTATTCATATAAGTAAGGATAATATTTCACGAAGCCTTAAATCAAGTGCAAAATATAACAGATTGAAGGTCAAAAATGCAAGATACCAGGTGAATGAGTGAATTATTATGGTGTGATTTCAGAGTAGTTGAGTGAAGATTATATGAGTAGTAGTCAGACAAAATGTGATATGACAGTGACCAAGAGAGGTGACGATGTTGTAGCAAAATAAAGTGGATTGAAATAGAATTAGATGAAAATAAGAAAGAGCTAGTTGTATGAGACATACAGTAACAATAGTAAGCTAGGTACAGAGTAGCGAAAGGGACCGTGAAAACCGTTTCTGAACACATGGTTCTGGTGTAAGATTATAATATTGCCAAGGGGTCTGTGGTACAAAGTGTGTGCACGTGTGCACCTTTCCATATGTTCGGTTTGACTTTGTGAAGTGTAAAATGACGATTGGGAGGCTGCATAGTTGTAGTCGGCTACGTGTTAGATTATTCATGAATTTAAGCTTCTATGTTCCGCTTTACCTAGCTCAACTGAGAGGTACTCTCGAAAGGGAATTTTTCTCAATGAACCTCCTGTGCACCTAGCTCCAAAAGAGTATTCGACACGTAAATGTACACTGAATTGGACAGTCGGGGTAACATTTCATTTCGAAATAATATTAGATTTGTTCTGTAAGATATTTCCAGAATACTGTACAGAATTTTCAGCATGTCATATAGCATGGGAGAACTGACACATAAAGAGCTTTGGTTGAAGAGGATGCTGGTCACCTGATAGAATAACTCCTACCAACTGCTTACACGAGTTAAGATGTTTGTTCACAAAAGTATCAATTAGGAGGCTTAGAGGTACACCACTAGTTCCGCTGACAATCTTCAAAGTTCTACGCAATGCACCATAGTCTTTATTCAATGACCCAGGATAGAGTAAAGGAGAACAATAGACGAGAATAGATAAGATGCAGGAGTTTATAAAACGCAAAGGAAGAGGCTGTTATCCTAGATACTCTCAGCTTACTAATATAGTAATTGAAGCAGAAGATTCTCTTGGAGGTTAGTAAGATATGGGAAGACCAGGAAAGATCACAGGAAAACATACCACGATCGATCACACTTATAACATTTCCCAATGCACAGCAACCTATAGAACAGGAATCATGAGAATCATGAAGTAGTTTACACAGGTTATTTTCATATTTGAAACTAAAACTGATAGTCTGACATTGTGAAGAACTAAGCACAAGACCATTCATAGAGGACCACCGTCTAATAGTAGGTAAGAAGTTTAGTTGAGAACAATCTGACGAGGATGATAGATTTGGAAACTGTCAGGTCATCCGCATACTTGGCAATATCGGTACTAGCTGAAGATATTAAGTCATGGAGAAAGAAAGAGGAAAGAAAAAGGGAGAAAGAATAGTGTCCTGGGGAACACCAGCCCGAGTAAGTAGTGAGGGGAGCGGCGCTTCCCTTTATGAACAGTGTATTGCTTCCTTTCAGAAGAAAAATATACACCCGGTTAATCATCCAAAGCTCAGTATGAGCGCAGGTCTTGTGGCAAAAAAACCTGCTAAAGTATGGCCTACAAAAGCCCATCTAACATACTTGCATTTCTACGAAGATTACAAGCAATATTGTGGTGCGATAAAGTGGTGGCATCGAGAATACTTCTTTTATATTTTTAGGCAAATTCATTAGGACCTCAGAAAACCTTCAGCAAAGGTTCAGACACAGGTAACAATAGCTTCTCCACTATATATTATTATTTTTCTCTTGGGTTCCTACTGGAACATAGAGCTTCAGTAGCACATACCCATTTCACTCTCTTCTCTACAGTCTTTTCAACCTCGCTCCACCACTGCCCACTAGCTTTCATTTCTTCCTCACACCATCTCCTCCTTCTCACCCTCGACTCGCACGCCCAACTCGTCGTTTCCCCTTTGAGTTCCACTCGACGGCCTGGTTTGGCGCGTGATGTCCCCGAATGGTTTTCTCAGTGTATGCCCAGTCCAATCCATCTCCACTTTCTTCTTCTGCATATTTGTAGGGTGATGGGTTTTTGGTTGGTTCTCTGCCAGCCATCCAGAGTTTCTTGTTGTTTATTCTTATTATTCTGGCCATCTGATCTTCAGTATCGAGCGCAGGCAGCCGTTTATGAATGTTTGTAATTGGTTGGAAATGCTTTTCGTGACACGCCAAGTTTCTAAACCATAAAGCAGCACTGACTTGACATTGGTGTTGAAAATCCGGATCTTGTTCACGCTTTAGGCTGAGTGCAGTAGATCTCCACCCTGATTTCGGGTTAATACAGGAAGGCCTGTCTTGGTTTTCCGATCCTGGTTTTGACATCTTCATCTATGCCTGTGCCGCCACCTGTAGTTGAGATGATGTTGCCTAGGTAGGTGGAAGAGACTACTTCCTTTAGGTTTCACCCGTTGATGGTGATCGGTGCTTGTTGTTGATGCTTTTATTCGTTGGGTATCTTCATCACCTCTGTCTTCTCTACATTCACTTGAAGTTCCGTCTTCGCCGCCTTGACTCTTCTGTCAGCTTGTTAGTTTTCGCCTGTAGATCTTCGAGTTTGTGCGACATTAAACATAAATCATCGGCGAAATCTAAATCTTCTAAGGTCTTCTCATCGGTCCAGCGTATGCCCATCTTCTCGCTCCCATGGTTTGCTGCATGACCCAGTCCACCACAATCAGGAAGATCATAGGTGATAGTTGGCGGCAGCCTTGTCTTACTCCTGTCTTCACTTAAAAGACATCACCGAGCTGAGCTTTTCATTGTGAATCACTTGGCATGTGGCTTCTTCATATAGTTGTTGAATGAGATTGATAAAAACTAGTGGCACTCCGTAGTGCTGAAGCAACTGCCAAATTACTTCTCAGTCAACGCTGTCGAAGGCCTTTTCAAAGTCGATAAAGTTGAGGTAGAGAGTTGACTGCCATTCTATACTCTGTTCTATGATGAAATAAAATCAACTTCTCAAGTGAAGTCTACAGTCGATACAGATGTAAGTAAATTCTTTAAATGGTTTTAACTGAAGAAATATATACATTGTTATACTGTAATTACTTAAACACTTTAGACACATCGTGATATATTATTGAACGAAGTGATGGCAAACAGTACATAAAAATTTCATTGAAAGTTTTAAATTTCAAGGTTTATCAAGCGAGACAACCTATGAACATCATATAAAACTATACAGATATCTTCTATTATATTGGGTCGCTAGAGTTCAACTAGGTGGATTTTAAAACTTTTTGTTAGTTTCGTGAAAAAGGATGAGAATTTACACTGTCTAAAACTTCCTGAAAAGTAATTTGAACCACTTATCAGTTTGTAATAAAACGTTTTCAGATAATACTTTTATAACAATAATGATTTCAGATGAAAACAAGTATTCTCAACGTACTTTTGAAATCCACCAGATAATGTTGATGATAACAAGAAACTTTGTGAACTGAGTAGTTTATATAGATCGCTTGTTTCAGTTAAACCAGATGTATGACTAATAATTGAGGTGATTAGCGAAGATGTCAGGAGTGCTTTCAATTCAGCCTTCAAAGAATCAGATGTAGAGGATTCTGATATCTGAGGTTTATCAGAACTTGACAAGAGGACTGTTTCTTTGGGTCCAGTAGACGATGGTGAAGTAATTGATGTCGACAATGAAGGCGATGTTGATGGTGGAGAAAAAGCGTCTTTAGATGGAATGTTTACTAAACTATCGTGTTGTGACATTGTTTTCGAAGAGGGATCTAATTGGGTCAGTAAATTAGATTTGTGAAACATTTTTATCGGAAGATCTATAGTTGTCTCTCTTGGTGATTGAATGTTACTTGCCTCTCGTGGTTGATTAGAAAGACGACTATCAGCTGAAGAAAAAAACAAATATTTCTGACTGCAATATGAATAAATAGTTAAACTGGATATTACATATTGCAAAAGTGATGTACTTACAGAAGTTTAAAAAACACATTTTTCCAGATATTTCATGGATAATTAGTCGCAAAAGCCATAATTACTTCAATAATGATATTTTCTTAACATCTTTGACGTTTGATGAAACAAAAAAATGTTGAGGGGACCTTAAGTAAAGAAGTTTACGGAGACGATAACGTAGTTAAAGTGTTTCAGGCACGTTCTAGGAAAATGAAATCAACAATATGACTGTTTGACTGACAAAATCAACATAGAACTTCGCACAAAAATGAATCGCCTCAAGTTGCCACACTTCAGAATAATATATAAAGAATAGATGGATAGAAAGAGTGATATCAAGGTAGACAAGATAAAGGTTAGTGCAAATATTCAAAGCTTCAGATGTCAAGGAGTGAATATATCTACACCATTGTGACCAATTTTCAGCCATGTCACCAACAGTCCTCAACCACTTATTCTTTTCATCTCAGGAACCCCAACCAGGCACTCTGTATATCTAAAAACGACTCCGATTAACAGTAAGAGACTTCATCGACTGATGTGCCGTTTTGGTCTGGCTACCCTGAACACTCCTCCAATCTAATCTCACTTCCCCTAGCATGGAACATCAAGGTAGGTGGCGGCTCAGCGTGCGCAACACACGCCCAAGCTATCTTAGTCGATTAATATAACCAAACAGAAACTGTAAAACCAGAAAAAAGATGAGGGACACACGAAAACATCCAGATCGAATTGATGCACTGCTTTGTCATCATTGTTTATTCAAAATGAAAAGTTTTGGAATGATGATGGTGACAATATTGAGAAGTTGTAGTGGGAGATCGTTATAATAGTAATGGTGGTAAATGAGGAGTTAGTGAACTAAATAACCTAAGGAGCTTCCATCTTTTTTTAGGAAATTTACTTCAAACGAATTCTAAAATGGTACCTCTAGTCATTCTGATTTCCCACACTATTTTTGAACCCTGGACTGATTAAAGTATATGTTCCTCTGGGACATCATATAGGAAATCAAGTTGTATCAAACGACGGTTCATTTATCTTCCAGACAAAAAATAACCTGGAAACTGACTACGTTCACTACTTTTGAGACAAGTTCCAACATTGGCATAAAACATTCAATGAATTATATATTGGCTAGTCAGTCAGTGTAAATACGATGAACGTACAGTTATATATCATGAATTCAAATGGCAGTCAGATAAAACCCTTGGTGATTGAAATGAAATTAAAACCTGGTTAACAAATGTTTTTCATGGCTTAGTTGGTAAAGCACCGCGCTGATAGCCCATAGGTAGCTGATTCAAATCCTGCCACACTCCATAATTTCATTTAAACTTCAATGATCACACAGTATAACTTATAATATGCAAAATGTATTTCAGTCAGAATAATCGGTATCGTAGGATTACGTAAGTCACTGACGAAAGACTTACCGAAAAACCAACACATTGCAAGGCCTTCGTATGAAATTAGAAAACTCCAGCTAGTTCTGGAGAACTACTAAAAACTAGGGGGGCAACGAATAACTGTTTCATTCAGCTGGTTTCAGAACATGATGAATACTAACTACATTGAAACCAATAAGTCAATTCGCACAAACTTCCGAACTGAAACAAAGGTTTAACTTCATGATTTCAATAAAATATTAATAAAAATTAAGTCTAAGGGGAAAAAAGGTAGGATAGTAGTCTACAACTTCCAAAGGGCTTTTTTAGTCGAGTAGTATCAATTTTTGAGTAAAGCTGAGCAAGGTAAATGTATTCATATCACTATGATATATGTGGGGAACACTACTGATGAATACGTAGGCTAGTACTCATCACAGGGTAATGACTAGTAGCCATTAATGTAATAAACAGTTGAGTCATATAGTGACATTATTAAGGACATCAAACAACAGTTTATGAACACATAAGTTGACATATCATTAGAACAATTCAACGGATTAAAAATCCTACAGCAAGCATAAATCATCTTGGAGGTCAATTCAACAATCTGATCAATAATGCAGACTTCAGTTTTGTGCCTAAACAGAAATATATTATGTGAGAACTGCGGCGAAAAAGTAGCACTAAGCACACTCGAAGGGCAGCATTATCATCGACGAACATTAAAATGAAATAAATATGGTAAGATTTTCTAGTTAAGCATTAAACAGGCAGTTTTCTTTAATAGAGCTTGTTATAAATGAAAACCTTTGAAGTACTTGTAAAACGAGTCTTATCATCTTCATAGATTAATAATCTCAAGAGGCTTCTATTATTACCTGAATGGAAATTATTTAAATACTGTTTGGTATTAAACTTTAAATACAATATCGTAATAATCAAATTTATCGTACAACAAATAAACTAATTAAATCCCTGACTGCAATCCATCTAGATTCAAAATACTAGACTTACACAAATCTATCTACTTCCAATTGCATATAAGTAGCTAAACGTTTGTGACTTCATTTTCACGAACTAAACAAATCCATACGTCACTGGGTGAATGTGAAATGAAAATTTGGACCATGGTGGGAATCGAACCAGCGACAACCGGGTTTCCGGCCCGGTGCTCTACCTTGGTGATTAAAGTAAGATAGAAATCTGATCAGCAGTTGGGCCTCGTAGCTCACTCGGTCGCTGGTTCAAATCCCGTCGCTCTCCAAATGTTCATTCCACCTTCAATCATCACTCACTATCAATAGAAGTCTAGCAAACCATGGCTATCTCAAATAGTCAAAATGAGAATATGTATGTGTTTGTGGGTTAGAGGCAATCGTCAGGAAACCCTATTTGACTTAGGTTTCGTACTTTTCGGCACTCGCCAGTAAGGCGTATATACGAAAAACATCCATCAAAAGTGTACCGCGATGGTGAGCTTTCTAGCTTGATACCCACATGGCAAAATATGATCGTTAAAATTCGATCAGCATTTAGGACTAGGTGGCATGAAATTGGTTCCTCTCTAGTGATTAATCAATGAATATGTATGTATGTTATAACGTGGGTTAAGAGAGAAAGAATTTCAAGTAGATTTGACCTCAATGCAAAATGATCTATACAATATCAACAACTATCATTTACACTTAATTTCTAACTCTCAATTAAAAAAACAATTAAGTTGTATGCATATACTAAATAGATTTTTAACATACTCATATGTATATCACCGGTGTTCGAGTAACTAGAAATAGGATATAGCGTTTTATCTTCCTCATGATCAACATCGATATCATCGATAATAATATCATTTGGATGGAACACTTCTTCTTCTTCATCAGTAGTTTTATTGGTGAATGATTGTACATGTTTGTTTGAAATGAGTGAAGGTGTTTCCGATAATATGGATGATTCATATTCACTCTTATTCTTTAGAGAATGCTGGAATAAATAAAGAACCGATACAATGGAATTCAGTTTGAAATGCACTAACAATTGACATGATAATTACTGAGAAAAAGTTCATGCAACTATTTTGAAACGAAGGCTTGAAACAGTAGAACTCCAGTTAAAGATCTTAGAGAGAATACATGTGTTAGGTATTTTTCTATACTCAACTTTAAAGTGACATATTTAGCAGTAAGGCTTCCAAATAAACCAACCACTTGAACATATAATTACAACAAAAGGTGGATTTACTATTGAAAATTTTTAGTTTAGGGTTACAAGTTTACAATAGATGTGGAGTTTTTGAACCTCTTCAAGACAAAAGTTAAAACAGTATCATTCACACTGAAGAGGAAATTCAATGTGGAGATTTACAGTTACTTTCATAGACAACAAAATTAGGTAGATGTAACTTTGAATGGTTTCATAAAGGTGTTCTAAATGGAATCCTTATGATATAACCTGTTTCTTCTAAGTGGTTTAACATAGGTTATAGGGATAACGTAATATTTACTGAATGACATTTTGAGTACAATTTATTACTCATAATGTTTATCGTTATTTATTATTTCCTTGTTAAGACAAACTCGATAGACTGCATAAACAAAAAGAAACCTGACACAAAACAATTTAAGATTATAGAGATAAAATGCGAAAGAACAAACTATGTAATGAATGGTTTTAATTCTCAACCATATTCGATAACAACCCAAATGAGTTGCAGTGGGGCTGTGGTTCATTGGTTTACGGGGATGACTTTCAACCAACAATTCACGGGTTCGAAAGCCCCTTTCACCTACCGAGGTTTGGGTAGCCAGGTAGTATTATTATCCCCTATTCCTTACTGCATAAATGTGCACAAGGTTGCTGAATGGATTTCACCTTCTTTCTTTGCAAATAAGATGCATGACCTCATTAAATCACAAAAAGTTGTGACATATTGATAAACAGTAAACCAACAGTCTGTAATTTTACGGTACCACTACATGAATAACCACTTTTCTGCTTCCTCTACTTGGTTGATGAGTTAGTAAACAACGATCTGCGTGGTTGATATTCGGAAGATTTAAGACCCCTAATTCAGTAACTAAATGTCTTCACGATGTCAAAACGCAAGTCGATACAACTTAGAAGTACATTGACTTAACATGCGGAGCTAGACAATATCTTAAAGTTGATTAGAACCTTCAGCAAAAATGTCTTGCACACAGCTGATAATATACAACTAAATGAATTATGTGATATTGCTAAAACCTATCGACAATTCCTTACAGATCACTACTAAAAATAAATGCAGACACAAGCTCGTGTCCGTATGTATACTATCCCAAAACAAAATTATATCCTTCACAAGTTCACAATGTCATAAGAAATATTTAGAGGGATGAATGTTGCATTCATTTAATTTGGATTTTAGTATTTATTACAGAAAATTATGAGTGCATCTCTTGTTTAAGAGAAATGGTTATTATGGTTGCCGTTGTGTCCTTGGAACGCATCACCGAATACTTATATCCGAGATGAATCGCTGCTAAGATGTAACACACAAGACGACAAACTAAATCCTCTATTAAAAAATAATCGTTTATTTTCAATGCCTAAGCCAAGCATAATAAGGTTGAACAACTTTCTTAAAAGTAACATAACGTCTACATGTTTATGAGTTTACTGAAGGTCCATTAAGAACAGATGTTAGGATCCGTAAAGTAGTATTTATCCCAGACTGAAATCAGTTAGAGAACCATTGAAAACCTGGGAGCACTGGACAGCTGTTTCGTTCTAGTATAGGATTCTTCAGCAGTACGCACCGACGACCCAACTACAGATCGAACTCAGGATCGTCAGGTTTTACGGCAAATGCGTCAACCATGGAGTCACTGTGTCGGAATTCAGTGATCCACGGTTTCCTACTTCTTTCGATTCATAATATAGCGCGACTATCATTCGCTTTACCACTGACTGTTTCACTCTATAGATCATGGCTTCTCATTAGAACTACGGGATATCCATCTCGAAGTATGCTACTAATGAGCACTATATAGTACTGTTTTCTGAGGTTAATGAGGATTTTAACTTTTAAAGTAGTATTCCTCACGGACTAACTTCTCACAATAGGACGAAACGGACGTCCAGTGCTCCCACGTGTTCAATGGTTCTCCGACTGATGTCAGTCTGTAATGAATACTACCTTAAAAATTAAAATTCCCATTAACCTCAAAATACGTTAGAATTTGTGGTTGGTATTTTTTTTTCCAGACATTTTTACTGCTTTTATGTCTACATTTCTAATTACACCATATTTGAAGAAAATCTTTGATAATGTAGTACTCTTCTTTTTAAATCAAAGAGGAGAAACAAAGGAAACGATAGGATGACTACCTCAAAAAACTCTTGAATCGACCACCACCTGAAACTCGTCCAGAAATACCAACAGCAGCCCAGCCACAGAACTATCAGTGAACATAAACCCTCCGACAAACCAGAAGTGCGGTCCTGAACGCCATAAAGTTGCTGAAAACCCGGAAAACAGCAGGACCACATGGAAATTTTTCAGAAGCACTGAAAAAAGATGCAGAGACAACAGCGGACACACACCACTATTTCAGAAGCATTGGGGGGAAGGAAAGGTACCTGCAGATTGGAAGAAGGGCTACCTGGTCAAACTTTCAAAGAAGGGAGACCGAAGTCTTTGCAAGAGCTGGTGTGGAAATCATGCTCCTGTCCACCCTAAGCAAAATATTAAACCGCATCATCCTGGAGAGACTAATATGTGCGCTGGATTCAAAAATAAGACCGGGACAGGCTGTTTGGCTGGCTTCACGAAGAACAAATCATGTGCGGATCAAATTGCAACTCTACGCATCATCATAGAACAGAGCATAGAATGGCAGAATGGCAACTCTCGACCTCAACTTCGTCGATTATGACAGCGCCTTCGACAGCGTCGACCGAGAAGTAATTTAGGAGCTGCTTCAGCACTACGAAGTGAGTGCCACAAACCTTTATCAACCTCATTCAACAGCAGCTATATGCTATGTGAGGATGCTAAATGCAAAGTGATTCACAATGGAAAGCTGAGTGATGCCTTTGAAGTGAAGACAGGAGTTAAACAAAGCTGCCCATTATCACCGATGATCTTCCTGATTGTGGTCGACTGGACTGGATCATGCAACAAACTGTGAGAAGTGAGAAGAGAGGCATACGTTGTTTGACAGATAAAAAGATCCTAGAAGATTTGGATTTTGTCGATGATGATTTATGCCCAATATGTCTAAAGTCGCACAAACTCGAAGATCTACAGGCAAAAACTAACAAGTTGGCAGAAGTGGCACGGCAGTGAAGATGGGACTCCCTTCAGGCGAACATAGAGATGATGAAGATACCCGGCCAACAACAACAAGCACCAATCACCATGAACGGTAGAAATAGAAAGGAAGTTGTCTCTTTCACCTACCTAGGCAACATCGTCTCAACTACAGGTGGCGGCACAGACACAGATGAGGATGTCAAAACCAGGATCGGAAAACCAAGACAGGCCTTCCTGCATTAACCCGAAATCAGGGTGGAGATCTACTGCACTCCATTACACTCAGCATAAAGCGTGAACAACATCTTGATTTTCAACACTAATGTCAGTCAAGGCAGTGGTTCTATATGATGGTTGAGACACTTGGCGCGTTACGAAAAGCATTTCCAACAAGCTGCAGACATATGTCCACAGCTACAGTCTACGCTTACTCACTCGATACTGAAGATCAGATGGCCAGAATAATAAGAATAAACAACAAGAAACTCTGGATGGCTGGCAAAGAACCAACCAAAAACCCATCGCCCTACAAATATGCAGAAGAAGAAAGTGGAGATGGATTGGACTGGGCATACACTGAGAAAACCATTCGGGGACATCACGCGCCAAACCAGGCCGTCGAGTGGAACTCAAAGGGGAAACGACGAGTTGGGCGTGCGAGTCGAGGGTGAGAAGGAGGAGATGGTGTGAGGAAGAAATGAAAGCTAGTGGGCAGTGGTGGAGCGAGGTTGAAAAGACTGTAGAGAAGAGAGTGAAATGGGTATGTGCTACTGAAGCCCTATGTTCCAGTAGGAACCCAAAAGTCAAATAATAATAATAATAATAACAATAATAATAATACATACATACATACATGCATACATACATACACCTTAATTCCTTCTGTGTACAGGAAAAGAAATGCATAGAAACTGATTAAGATTTATAAACCTGAATTAGTAATACAATTTGGTCCTAGAGGAATCTGAAGGACACCAATCAACTGAACTACACTGCTGTGAGACAACGACAGATTCACTTTCGAATGTCACAACGAGTATGAATTTTTACTGAGATTACCGACACCTTATGGTAATTAGTGTTGAAGGAAGCACGAAAATCTAAGTGAATATCGAAAGTCTAGAAATTATTACATTTATAAAATATGACTATTCGCATAAATACGATGAAAATTCATCTTACCTTTGATAAACACTTTTTGTTATTCATGAAGTTATGAGAAATAAGTTTTCTAGGGGTATGGATTACATGAGAATTTGTCACTTGTTTCGATTCGTTCAACGAAGATGATGATGATGATGAAGAAAAGTGACTGACATCTTCATTTTCATAATTTTCTTCATTTCTATCTGAAAATTGTGAGAAATCTTGCAAGTTTGGACTGAAAAACCTATGATTACATGAATGAACAGTTGACTGCACAGAAGAAATATTAGATTCCAATTTTTTACGATTCAACATATCTGCCTTTTGTGCTCTTACAAGTTCATGAGCCCGTTCAGCTAAAACACCCGTTATAGGTTGTGAAATACAATACTTGACAACAGTAGATGTAGTGTTACCAACGCTTGCATCGATCAGTTGGTTACTCAACACCGATTTCGAAGAAAATTTCTATCGGTTAAAAAGATATATATATATATATATATATATATATATAGTTCACATGTTAAAATATGAATTACTAAAGGACAAGACAATATATAATGAAAAAAGCATAAGATAAAATAACGTACAGTCAGCATAATTCATCACTCATGACCAACTGATTGATATCACGTTCAGAGACTAGGTTTAAGTTTAACTTGAATAACTGATCAGTTGGTTACTTTTAAATTCACTACTGGTAGTTTGCAAAATATGTTTTCACTATATTAATCCTATAATACACACATTTACTTCATCATCAAACAAGTGTTTAATGATCAATTGTCCTGTCTTTTAACAATTGGGAATTATACTTCAATTAAGTTGCTGTTCATAAGTACTCATCACTTGACTATGCTACTGACCAATACACAATCTTTCACAGTCTACCTATCTCAGTCTACACAGGCTTAGAAGATAGCTATGAATACGGTAAAGGAATTTATCGAACTCTTGTTAAATCGGTACTAAATGGTGATGAAACTATATGGCACTGGATGAGATAATGTAAGAGAACACTCCAGATAGGATGAAGAATAGTGGTATCAGACGAAAAGGAACAGTTCATAGTACCGCTCAAAGTTAACTCTAACAGAAGGGAGAACTATACACAAAATGTTAATAAATCATTAGGAAATTAATTGACAGCAAAACTTGTTATGCAGAGTCAGAAACAATAATATATCTGCAGTTAATTATGAAATATACACAGCAAAATTCAGAACACTGAATAAATAAACTATTGTCTAAAGATAAAATGTGTGAATCTTCGCATGTTCCAAAATAAAGTACTAATAAGCATTCAATCGGTTAATCTCTGATCATATAGAAGCCCAAACATATCGTGAATTATAAAAACAAAAACTAATTAATAGAGGAGAGATGGATAAGATTTGAACTGCAGCAAGTAGGACCCAAATAAATTATAATTATAGTGTATTCCCCAGTTTTTACTGTTCAGTACTGGTCTGTCCAACCATTAGGTATGCATTATGGCTACAAAGCTATATAAGACGACACTACTGAATACTAACGACTTCACAGCTACGTCGGCAACCTTTCGTGGCCAATTTGGGTACATAATTTAGTTCAGCAAGATGTTGGTTGTAGGCTAATTGAAAAGGTTACTGACTTAGGTAATGAGTAACACGGGTTTGAATTGCCAACGAAACAGTAGTTTCTCATGTTGTAAATACGCTGTGTTGATGAGTCCCAACAAGCGCCAAACTTATATTAAAGGCTTCCTACCTACTGACTATTAAGACATAACATTGTATTGTATTTTATATGTTCTGATATGATATCACGTATTTTCAGCTATTGTAAATGTTCTGGCAGTTTTGCAGCTCCTTGACCTTAGATCTTTTTGGACTACCGAGCTTGCAAACTCAGCAGAGTAGCACGCCTTTTTTCTAACATGGGAAAGTCTGTGTGTTCTCTATAATACAACCTCTATTTATGGTAATATGTTTGGTTGTAGCTAGCAGAGGAATCCAGGACGCGCGTTCCGTCCTATTCGGGACTCGTCAGCTAGATATATTTGCACCCCGGTGAGTGTTGTTCCCACTGAGACTCGAACTTCGTACTCATCACTTCAAACGATCCAGTAAAACAACGGAGAATTACAAGTATATCAATAAACAGTAATAACCTATATTTATGTTCACCAGTGAACTTCACCACATTATATTAGAAAAAAGGAACTAGAACTTTTGAAATGACCATAAGAGATCAACCCGAAGAGACTAGACGAATTTAGGACAAGTAGTGAATGAAAAACTAGTGTAAAGTAAATATGAACGCGTTCCAACAACCAAAATTGAAAGTTACAACACTATTTAAAGTACTCACAATTTGAAAGTAGTAAGATCATTTCACTTAGTTAAATCACTCAAAAAGTAGACTGATGAGATTAGCAAAGAACAAATAATAAAATTTAAATCATAAGCCAGCAAACAAAACATGGAACTTACATTTAAAGCAGCTGCGTTGATAGGTTGTGAAAGTGTAGGCGATGGAGGTAATGGCGGTCGTACAGTGACTACCTCTTTCTCAGACCCACTACTGCCTAAAGAGTTTTTTGCATCACCCACTGAATCATCACCATTTACACAACCTTCAATTGCATGCAAACTTCTAGGAGTTATATTCTCAGTAGTTTTATCACGTTCGTTTAAATTCTCAATGGACTTAATTGAATCAAATTGCTTCTCTTGACTATCCCAAACACAACTTAAACGGAGTCGATTAATACGTCTATCGATCATATCCAATTCGTCACTGGAGATTATAAAAAAAAGTAGACTCAACATTAAATCAAGTTTAAATTAGTATAAAAACAAGAAAGTTTAAAAAAGTCTCTTAAGAGTTTCTCTTCAATAGTAAATACAGAAAAGCCTGTGCACCATGTCATAACTCAGGAAAATTCATTTGATTTATAGGGTACTACTACTACATTTTTGAACCTACAATAACAAGATGTGATATCCAGAGGTGAATAAGTAGCTTATCACTTTGACTACCTGAGATTTGGGCATGATTTGGTAGCCTTCTATTGGTACTGGGAGATGATTGAAGATGAGATGAGAATTTGGACCGCAGCCGGACTCGAACCAGCGACCACCGGGTTACCAGCCCAATGTCCTATTAACTGAGCTACGAGATCCGACTGCTGACTAGATTTTCATTTCAGCTTTAATCATTGACCAGCATTAATACTAGTCCATCAAACCACAGCTACCTCAAATAGTCAAAACGATAATCAATATGATGCTCCCCCTCTCTAATTTACAATTCGATTGGGGTGACTTCTAACCAAGCAGCCAGTGTGTGTACGATTAAGCGATAGTAACGCATCACGAATTCACATAGTAGTCGGACAAAACCCTTGGTGATTGAAGTCAAATAAAAATCTGGTCAACAGTCGAACCTCGTAGCTCAGTTGGTAGAGCATCGAGAAGGAAGCCCAGTGGTCATAGGTTCGAATCCGACCTCAGTTCAAATCTTCATTTCACCTACAGTTATCAACCAGTATCAATAAGTAGTTTGACAACACAACATATGAGCTAGTTACTTTACAAGGTTCAGAAACACAAACTCATTGGCTGACTTGTTTGCATTGGAAATAGATAATCGACCAAATTTAGTGATCTCAAGTGCTGATATTTCCATTGAGAACATAATTTACGAATCATAAATTGAAATATCTGAGCGTTATCTGCTAGACTCCAGAGTCGTCAAAGCTGCTATCTATTCATCAATGCGTATCAACTACCATTAGAATACTCGTTCTTCTTCATTGAGGATTTACGTAAGTGAAATGTTCATCTTCAGTTTAGATATATCATATTAAGGACAAAAAACCGTCACTCAAAGATGAATAGGATCTAACTGGTGACTATAACAACTTTGGACGAGAAGTATGGTCTTATTCCTGTTGCCGATTGCTGCCGAATATGATTATTAATTAACTCACTGACAATTAATATCATCACCAATGAGCTCTATAACACAGTATTTGTTTATTTACTAAACTATGAATTACGCTTAGTGTGTGATGATGCGATACTATGTGATATATGATGACACTATACTGAAGTAGGCGGAGAAGTTCGAACCCACTTATTAGTTAGGATTCAATAGTCGAAACGAACCAACAACAACTCAAGATATAATTAAAACTGCTATTTACATTTATTGTATGTTGAGAACTATGCAAATCACAAACTATAAAACAATAATGATGGATAGTCGCTTGCAGCGGAATCCAAAATGTCACTCTTTAGCTGGATGTACCTGCCTCCCAATGAGTGATGCTGTTCCCACCAGGATTAGGACTTGGGACCGTTCGCTTCAAACGCCAAAGAGTTATCTACTACACCACTGAGCCACGATAGCCACTTCTTTTACGACGGGTATAGTTTTAGTATAATTGTTTCTATGTGATACAGTCATTGCTTGGACCGAATTGATCGGTCTCTAGTGGCATATGGGCTCCTGTGCGGATCCCTCGATATTACATGTGTTCTAATTATAATGTAAGCAATTATCCTATAAAACAGTTATTCAGTAACATTTTGGATTTTTATTACTTCTGTTACTGATGTCAATCCTTTATTAAGAATAATGCCTTGGAACCAATTAATTCCTTTAAAATATATCTCACAGAATATGGGTAGGTGTTGCATTTCAATGAATTACAAGTTTTTGCTAATCAGATGTAAAACTGTGACTCTGAATGTATAATGAGGAAATTTCAGTACTCGTTATTTTCTGGTTGTATATTCATAAGGCAGTATTTAACAAACATAAAATTGCATAACTTTGATCTGCATAGACCGTAATGTCCACGTCCAAATACAAATGAAAGTCATAGTAATAGTAGTAACAATAATATGATGAAATTTACTCTAGTATTCTTTGACGTAATTGCAAACTTTCGTCCTCGGTAGAAACAGTACTAGTAGGATTCTGTTCAAGAGATGCTTTACTTGATGAGAAAGACTGGAAAGATGTATTTAGTATTCCGCTAACTGATTTCGATGCAGTATTGCATGAGGTTATATGATGTAGAGCATTTGTTAATCTTAATGATCCAGAATGCATACGACAACGCCGAATATCCGGTAAAATAGGTCTTTCACCAGGTCCTAGGTCAGCAGACTTCACAGATTGTTGTTTCTCAGTTGATACTGTCTTTTCTTCTATACTTATATTTTCATCAGATGGAGTGGAATCACTTTTACCTTTAAAAAGTAAGACGAAATCAAAAAAATTCACCTTCACAACAACAAAAAAATATTAACCACAATTTCAAAGAAAAATGCAAAAATTATCCGGAAACATTGAAAACAATGATTATAAACAAAACAACTCTCTCCTAATCACCATGTCCAGAGATAGGAAGTGATAATGCTGAGGTATGGTTTTTCTGTATTACCCTTAAAATAACTTTACCGGATATAAACACTTGAATGAGGATATTAGTGTTTACAATGATGGTAATTCTCTCACTTCTGCCATTCACAACAGTAAAACAAAATTATCAGTTTTTATTAAAATTAGGTAATTAACACGTCCTTTTCAATGTCTTGTAATAATTCATTTACATTTCCCTTGAATTGTCTGCATTCCTGTTAAGTTGCAGTGGCAAAGATGTATTCACTAATTGACGTTTTCTAAATTCTGAATATTGACACTAACCACTATCTTCAAAGTGCTTATTTTCTCATACAACTTTGTCTACATTGATATCCCTCTTATTCCATCCACTTGTTCTTTGTTTACTACTCTGAAGTGTGGCAACTTGAATCAATGCACGTGTGTGCGAGATTCTACGCTGATTTTATCTGTTTGTCTACTACTTTTTTTCAGGTATCATCTGAGTGATTTTAGTCAAATCCATATACTTTTCTGTTTGCAACGGTTGCTAGACGCCGTTCAATTCGATACCAAGTCTTGTCCAAGGACTTCATTATATGGCTCAAAATGTATTTTAACAGGACGAATCACTTTCATTCAGAGATATGAATAAGGAGATAGTAAAACCTCGCCTGGTTAACTAGTTTACTAGTTACTAGCCGGTCCTAAGCCCGGGTAAAGAGGGAAGGTTGGGCATAGGGCTAGCAACCCTACCCCGTAAAACAAATCTAACCGCTAAAGAAACTTCAAAGCACAAACAAAATATAAAAAATGAAAACAAACTTATTCCCCGCTGGAATCGGAGAGGCGAAATGACGCCAGTTGGTGAAAGCCTTCGGGAAGCCAATTGGCCGATGTGTCTTCTCTCGATGAAAGCGAAAGTAAACGTGGGGACATGGAATGTCCGCACGATGTTTGAACCCAGTAAGGCAGCCCAGATTGCAAGGGAGATGAGAAGGTATAACATCGAAGTGCTTGGGATTTGCGAAAGCAGATGGAATGGGAGTGGACTCTCCAAACTGTCAACTGGAGAATCAATAATCTACTCCGGTCACCCAGACGCCAACCACGAGCACACTGAGGGAGTGGCTATCATGATGTCCTCAAGAGCATCGAAGGCTCTCATGCAGTGGGAACCAATCTCCTCCAGGATCATGACAGCAAGATTCAACTCAAAAGGAAGAAAGGTCACAATCATACAATGTTATGCACCTACAAATAATGCAGAGCAAGAGAAAAAGGAGGATTTCTACAGACAACTTCAATCAACACTGGACAAGACGTCAGTTGGCGATATCAAAATTCTGATGGGCGACATGAATGCCAAACTGGGAGGGGACAACACGGGAAGAGAACTAACCATGGGTCGAGAGGCACTAGGTGAAATGAATGAGAATGGAGAATTGTTTGCAGAATTCTGCGCATTCAACGATTTGGTGATTGGAGGCAGTGTGTTCAGGCACAAAGATATCCACAAAGCGACATGGATTTCACCAGATGGACACACTAAAAATCAAATCGACTTTATCTCAATCTCAAGAAAATGGAGACGCAGTCTACTTAACACAAGGTCAAGAAGAGGAGCAGATGTAGGTTCAGACCACTACCTAGTGCAAGGAACCTTCCAAATCAAGTTAAAAGCCTTCAAGGAAGCTGGTGATAGACCTCAACCCAAGTACAACACTCGGAAACTGAAGGATGAAACTACAAAGGAGATCTTCAAGGCAGCCATCAAGACAAAATGGGAGACATCGAGCAACATCCCTGAAGAAACCTGTGTGGAAGAACATTGGAAGTCTTTGAAAGCTATGTGGAAAGAAACCTGCACAACAGTATTAGGAAGGAAGAAGGTGGAAGACAAGGAATGGATCTCGACGGATACCTGGAAGCTGATAGAGGAGAGGAGGATGGTGAAGCAGAAGATAAACCAGTGCAAGGATGCTCAACGACAAGAGGAACTGAGCACAATGTATAAAACACTGGACAAAGAAGTGAAGAAGAGTGCACGCAAAGACAAAAGACACTTCTACGAAACACTGGCAAGTGAAGCAGAACAGGCTGCAGGTAAGAGAGACCTGACGACATTGTATCAAATAACCAGGTTGCTATCAGGGAAGAGACCAACACAGATGAAACCAATAAAAGATGAAGAAGGAAATTTAATTACAAAAGAAGAGAAACAGAGGAAACGATGGGCCGACCACTTCAAGAAGCTCTTGAATCGACCACCACCTGCACTTCGTCCAGAAATACCACCTGCAGCCGCTGAACTACAAGTGAACATTAATCCCCCAACGAAAATGGAAGTCCTGAACGCCATAAAGCTACTGAAATGTGGGAAAGCAGCAGGACCAGATGGAATACCGCCAGAAGCACTGAAAACAGATGCAGAGACAACAGCGGCCATGCTCACACCACTATTGCAGAAGGTGTGGAAGGAAGAGAAGGTACCTGACGATTGGAAGAAGGGTTACCTTGTCAAACTGCCGAAGAAGGGAGACCTCAGTGCTTGCAAGAACTGGCGCGGAATCACTCTCCTGTCCACCCCAAGTAAAATATTAAGCCGCATCATCCTGGAGAGGCTAAGGGATGCACTGGATTCAAAACTACGACCGGAACAGGCAGGCTTCAGGAAGTACAAATCATGTGCAGACCAAATTGCAACGCTTCGTATCATCATAGAACAGAGCATAGAATGGCAATCACCTCTCCACCTCAACTTCATCGACTTTGAGAAGGCCTTTGACAGCGTCGACCGAGAAGTAATTTGGAAACTGCTTCAATACTACGGAGTACCGCAAACCTTTATCCGCCTCATTCAACAACTATATGAAGATGCCACATGCCAAGTAATCCACAATGGGAAGCTCAGTGATGCCTTTGAAGTGAAGACAGGAGTGAAACAAGGTTGCCTACTATCCCCCATGATATTCTTGATTGTGGTGGACTGGATCATGCAGCAAACAGTAGGCAGCGAGAAGAGGGGGATACACTGGACGACGGAAAAGAACCTAGAAGACTTGGATTTCGCCGATGACTTATGCCTAATGTCACATAAACTTGAAGATCTGCAGGCAAAAACTAACAAGTTGATAGAAGAGGCAGCGAAGACGGGACTTCAGGTGAATATAGAGAAGACAGAAGTGATGAAGATACCGCACCACCACCATCAACAACAACAACAACAAACTCCAATCACTGTCAACGGGAGAAACTTAAAGGAAGTAACCTCCTTCACTTATCTAGGAAGCACTGTTTCAACTACAGGCGGGACGGACGAGGACGTCAAAGTCAGAATCGGAAAAGCAAGACAGGCATTCATTAGCCTGAAACCAGTGTGGAGATCTTCTGCACTCAGCATGCGGAACAAGATACGGATTTTCAACACCAACGTCAAGTCAGTGCTCTTGTATGGCTCAGAGACTTGGCGCGTCACGAAAGGTATTTCCAATAAACTACAGACATTCATCAACAACTGCTTACGCTCGCTGCTGAAGATCAGATGGCCAGAAAAAATAAGCAACAAGGAACTCTGGGAACGAACCAACCAAGAACCTATCACGCAACAAATATGCAGGAAGAAGTGGAGATGGATTGGCCATGCACTGAGAAGGCCGACTGAGGACATCACGCGTCAGGCCCTCGAGTGGAATCCCCATGGGAAGCGACGAGTTGGACGTCCAAGGGTGACATGGAGGAGGTCGTGCGAGCAGGAAATGAGAGCTTCTGGGCTGTCGTGGGACCAGGTTCAAAAGATCTCAGAGAACAGAGGTCACTGGAGGCGTGCTACTGAAGCCCTATGTTCCACTAGGAACCCAAGGGACTAATAATAATAATATAATAAAATGAAAATTGAGATAGGTTGGTGTCCGATATGCATGTGTAATATACAGCTCTATCGTTTCAGTTGTTCTAGGTTCGAAACGTCATTAAGGTGGGTACTAACCTGAACTAGAAATATTGAAAGTATTGAAATGCTAATTGAGCCAGATTTGAAACGAAGCTTCCATCGCAGGTGTGCATAAACCGCTTGGAGTGGTATATATATATATATATATATATATATATATATATATATATATATATATATATATATATATATATATACATACATATATATATATACATATATATATATACATCTGACAACCAAAGGTTACAGAAACTTGATGGAGTCCACTGTGTCGATATATATATATATATATATATATATATATATATATATATATATCGACACAGTGGACTCCATCAAGTTTCTGTAACCTTTGGTTGTCAGATGTCTGTCATATAACTGACTGACGAAATTAACGTAGAACCTCGCACATAGGTGCATAGGCTCAAGTTGCCACACTTCAAAGTAGCATATAAAAACGAATGGGTAGAAAAAGTGATATCAAAGTAGACAAAGTTGTGTGAGAGAATAAACAATTTCAAGATAACCGTTGGTGCAAATATTCAAGCTTTGGATGTCAAGGAGCGAATATATCTACACCATTGTGACCAATTTTCAGCCATGTCACCAACAGTCCTCAACCACGCATTCCTTTCATCTCGGGAACCCCAACCAGGCACTCTACATATCTAAGAACGACTCAGATTAACAGTAAGAGACTTCATTGACTGATCCCCCGTTTCGATATGCCTACCCTGAACAGTATTCTAACTTAATCCAGCTTCCCTCGCATAGTACATTGAGGTAGGCGGTGACTCGGCATGCGCAGTACATGTTCAAGCCACCTCAATAGATAAAGGTTAACAACCTCATCGATTAACTTGCCTGTCTTGCTTAGTAGCCTTCGCTAAACCTCAACATAGCCCACACGGTGATTCCACCAGATGCAAGCGATGCTAGGAAGACATTTGTGATTAAACCCTATTACCGCTTCATATCTCCTACTTTACACGGCCATGTATCACAGCTGTATAAGTGGACAGGGTGGACTGCAGCGCAGTACACTCATCCTTTGTTAGATAGTCGGATATCTCTCCAGTCGACGCCACAGGTGACCCCAGTTAGCGAATGCCAAATGGGCCTTCCGTATCCTAGCTGAGATTTGGGCTACTATTGAAATTTTCCACCAGACATACCATATCATATTCCTCCATTTCAGTTTGTTTTAATCTCTCAAATATGTCATCCAGACATATAATGTACTCTTAGGGATTTTTAAAATGTTCTGAACTAGTCGCTTTTCAAAGTAATAACACAACGATGGAAAAATGTCATGTTAAGTGACATTGGACTTTTGAACGGACAAAAGTATGCGATATTTCTATTCTTCGAATACCTATCTCGAATAGTACATTCTTCTACTGGCTGAATGAACCACCAACACTAAGCAGCGAATGCTAATCCAGCACAAACCGGCTGCTTCGCATTATTACCATTGATGCTGTTATTATGAACATTATTCAGAAGCCATAATCATTCCGTATGGAAATATTGCTTCGGGAATAAATTTGTTAATTTATTACATGCTGAGAATTCCATATTATATCAAACATACTGTTTGGAATAAAGTTATTATTATTTGTCAGCAACCAGCCCGTTTCGACTGATGCAACTCCTCAAGTAAGTGAAGTGGTCGACACATTCCACCACTTAACTTCCTATCATTAAACGATGAGAAGTTGCAGACTAGTCCTGCAGTATCATCTTACATATGACAGATGCGAAACGCATGCCAAGCATACTCATATTTCTGCTCAACACGTTTGTCATATAATCTAAGTTATCATCAAAATATGTCCATGCGGAAGCAACAAACATGAGTTCCTATGACAATGTTGATCAGGATATCTTAGTTACCCTTCAAGGAAACAAAGTGGCTTTTATCACCAATAAGTGGGGGGAAAAACACTTTAAGAACATTACTCAAACTACTTACTCAATTTTAAATTTTGATCGTTTACAAGTGAGATTTGATCTTCAACAGAATAATCAGCAGTAGTTGGCATATCCTTCGTAGGTGAATTTTCACATTCCCCTTCAACATTCAATGTTATATTGCCTTCGTTCGTACCATTCATTAAATTATCGTCATCAACAGTATTTATGCATTCTTTATAATTTATGTTAGCCAACTGATGAAGCAGTTCATCCTGAATGCATGAGTGATGAGTAAGGAAAGTCATTTTAAATGTTTTAATAATAGAACGAGTGTGTCGTAGGGACAGTGAAATGATTTTAAATCCTCACCTGTTCAATGTGCAATGGAATTTACTCTTATGGGTTACAATCAATTGATGAGCAACCACTTCGGAATTTATATAGATAACTGATCGAGTAATTTGTAGTTAGATTCAATCAAACGTTTAGGGTCAACAGTCGGTATTTGTCAACCTTCGGCTAACATCTCAAATCAGTGAGTCCATGGACTAAACTATACACGAAGTCGACAGTAAGTAGTGCTTGTAGATCCAACACTAAAAGTAAGTAGGTTGCTGGTAACTCCTAAGTTCTAGAAGTCACTCAACTGATAATTGTAGATTATGAGGGGAACAAGAAATGCTTAACGACAGGATACATATCAAAACAATTACCTTAACCTAAGCAACGAGTCACCTTAGTATATATCAAAAATATCTCAGGGACTGTCAACTGGTCAGTTCCCCCACTTGGTATCAGTATGGCACAAAAATTAACCAAACCCCGTCAGAACATATTATGCGAGCTACAGAATCCACTACCCAATAGTCTCAATATGGTCGACAAAATTACAAACAAAGACTGTCAATATCACTATGTTGGGTAATCTAGTCGTCGAATGAGCCGATTAATTGGGACAGAGTAAAAATACTACAACTACAACAAACAAGACCAAAACCTGCAAAAGTTTTCTGAAACATGGTTCTGCAATCAGATGGCAGTCAACAAACATGTAGATATTGATCCAATATACTGGCTACTAGGGAGGGATCAGTCAACTTGAAATCAATCAGCCAATTCAATGATCAGATATCAGGTCAAATAATAACAACAGTTATAAAGATCAACCTCTGATAAGAAAGAAAAACAGGTCACCCCAACGCACAAGCTAGTAGATCTCAAGGTCGGCAAACGTATTTCATAAACATTCATTCAACTTGAAAATGCTTCAATCGTTTATGAAGTAGATGCTGATGAAGTCTCTTAGCCCAATGATGAAACGTGCAAGAACAAAACATAAAGCTCGTGGGACACCAAACAATTGATATATACCCACCTTAATATCACCTTTTTACATACTTCTTTCTTGAATGCTGCCGTAAAGTTTGGTGACTTGAACCGATACACTTCTGCGCCAGATTCTGCATTAACCTGTCTGTCTACCGGCCTATTCATTCGTTTGGTTACTCGTAACACAGCTATACGACTTCATGAATTTCTAGTTCTGATCTCGCATTTTTACTGACTGTTTCATAGATAAGTACTTCTCCTTGCCACCACACGAAACGCACTCAGCAACCTTGTGCACATTCATGCAGTATGCAATGAACCACACCTGTTGTATGAGGGCTAATGATACTGCCTGGCTGCCCAGACCCCGGTAGGTGGAGCGGAGTTCAAACCTGTGACCCACTGGTAGGTAGTCATCTCCCCAAACCAGTGAGCTACACCCCCACCAACACACTATTTTCTCTTTACATATGGTAAAGTGTGGTGACTTGGATTGATGCTCTTCTGTGTTAAATTTTAAGTTATCATGTCCATTTGGTTATTTATGTTACTATAGGACTTCAGTTATTTTACCCATGCAATAATTAGCAGTAAAATTTCATCTACTATAAAATAAGATGTGTAATCATTGCTTAGACAAAATATTCATCGAACACTAACCGAGCTGATGATCTGATACTCTGTCTGGATTAGATTTCAATTATTAAAGAATAAAATATAACAATGAAGGTAACACAACACTCTAGTTCAATACATTTGGTGACAGATCTTTCAGAGAAAATGGAACTTAGAGATGTAGGTTTCATGTTCACTCGCATCGATCATAACCGATTGGCATCGAAGAAGAAGTACCTTGTTCATCAACGCCTAAAACGTCGAAACAAAGGGAACGCATTCAGCAGTCACATGCATATTTTTGCAGTAGGCAATCAACCACACCTTTTGTGTGAGGATTAATGATACTACCTGGCTTCCCAAACCTCGGTAAGTGCAGCAGTGTTCAAACTCGTGAACCGTTGGTTGAAAGTCAACTACTGCTTAAACCAATGGACTACAGCTTCACACGCCTAAAATGTATACAATGTAGACTCAAAGATTCAAGTTTTTGTTAGTTGACCAACTTCCTTTCAGCTGTAATCGTTTTTAGGTGTAAAAATAAAGGAGTTAATCTTGAACCTGATACCCATGAACATGGACTAATATATTCATTATTGTGAGAGGATAAACTGCAAGGGATTGCGAATCAAGGCAGGACTATAGTCCCAAATCTTTGGGTTAATGGCTCTGTGATCTAGTGAGCGAGCTTTGAGACCCAACTGTCACCTAAGTGACACTCCGATAAACCACTAATGACCAGAGTGGATCAGTCTACAAGCAACACTTAGTTTTCCTGTAACAGTTAATAGACTGCCAGGTAGATAAGACAGAAGTAATTGATTCGAATCCTGTCGTAAATTACTTTCCTTTTAGCTACTTTAAACATCCAACTCATTTATATAAATGCAGTTACCGGTAAAATATATGTCGGATAGTTGCTAACTAGTACTCAATATTACCAAAATTATCATACCATGGTATAATTATTGATTACCTATTTCCAAAGAAACTGTTTCATATCAACTAGAGTAAATTACCTCAAAAACCTTTTCCAACCGGCGATTAACTACAGCTTCATCCTTGAAACCACCAGGTAGGTTAGGAAAGCGGGAATGACCAGCCATACCAGAGTATAACTGACTTCTACGAAGTAAAGTTTCATTGCGTCCGATTTCATCCAATCGACTGAGTAAAGCTTGATAGTGTTGATGTACACGTTCTCTACAAATTAATACCAGAATGAAAAAAAACAAAGTATGAATTATAGGAACTATGTGTATAGACCTAACAGCTGCCTACGCTTGATACTGAAGATCAGATGGCCAGAAAAAATAAGCAACAAGGAACTCTGACAACAAACCAACGAAACAAGAACCTATCACCCAAAACATATGCAGAAGAAAGTGGAGATGGATTGGGTATACACCGAGAAGGCCGATTGGGGATATCGTGCGCCAGGCCCTTGAGTGGAATCCAAAGGGAAAACGACGAGTTGGGCGTCAGAGGGTGACATGGAAGAGATCATGTGAGAAAGAAATGAAAGCTTCTGGGCAGTTGTGGAGCCAGGTTGGAAAGAATGGAGAGAAGGGAGTGAAATGGCGATGTGCTACTGAAACCCTATGTTCCATCACGAACCCAAGGGAAGAATAATAAATATGATGTGAATATATCTGATAGCTGTTTACAGCTACCACATACACCAAACCAGAAAAGTTGGATGGATTTCAAATCTCATAACGGGACATTGGATAAACTCAACATATATTAAAGTTAAATAAGGCTGGTATTGCACTACATTTTACATCTATTTTTGAAGTGCTATAGTTTGATCATCAAAGAAAAAGCCGTTATAGAAGTGATGATGAATGGTAATGAGAGTAACATTGCATTTTCTTAGATAAACAATATGAAATAAGCACTCAGAAGTGCTTTCAATGAGTATTAGGATTCAAAAGAAAACAGGACAGAGAAAAGTGGTGACTTAGTACAATGAGATAAATTCAAAAGACCTCTTGACTTTTGTACTGTTGTTTAAAAAGAGTGGTATCCATACCATGCTAACCGTTGGTATCGATTATGAGCCATATATAATGTTTCAAGCCATTGGGGTCACACAATCTGTTGTATTCCAAGTAGAGAGACATGATGCAGAAAGAGGCTTGAAGTTGTTAGTCTTGATCCAATCAGGTGTTGTAGACGTGTTAAGCAGTGTCAAACAATCGTCTAGTCTATGGTGTAATACTACCTGGTGTAGGATTAGTTCGGGAAAAGTTAGAGATGGCAAACGCAAGAAGCGATACCAAAACAAGTACATGACTGTTAGCTTAGGTTGTTTAAGAAAGTGTAGGTTTCTTGGTGGTAAAAAACACTCTAAGTGATATAAATCTAGATCGGTTACAGTGTTGTAAATGAGCTGATGTCTTATTTCGATCTCAACCACAATATCCTAATTTATTTTATTCCTTTCATGTCTTTTGCGGCTTTCTACATTTTTGATATTATTATAGCCATTCCCCTTTTTCCTCTGGTTCAGTGCTACTCCGATATGCTAACACGAGGTGTGGCATTTTAAGCCACCATGAAACTTGCCAGTTTTTATATTTATGATGCTTATCTGCCTAAAAGAACAATCTTAGATTTCATAACACTTCCACTTCTATTAGTTATCCACAAAGCTATCAAACAGTGGAAGCCGTTGGAATGGTATATATAAGGTATATTCAAACCACTGAAGTTGGTCTTTTAAGATGACTTCAGAGATGCCTTTTATAGGACTTGAAAATATTACCCAAACTTTAGAAATACTAAGATGATGTCACAAGATGTGAACAGTCTTGAAAGCATCAGTCGATCAGATTTGTAAGCCAACCAGGAACTTTTCAAAATACTACAAAAACAACAATGAACACCTTCTTACCTTCTCATTGCTTGACGCCCACGCATATCAGCTTTGATCAGATCTTCACGAGCATGGATATTATTTGCAAGCTCCATTGCGTGCATACGTTCTTCTTCTTTTTGTGCAGAAATATTAGCATTTTGTACTTCACTATTTCCAACTGCTTCATCCTCATTAGCTCTAGTGTTGCTTACCATCACTTTTGATGGCAAATTCTGGGAGTGTATTGTATTCCTAGCCTCAGCATCGTATACAAGGACCAGAGGTTCATGAACTAATCAGGAGAACGATAAAAAAAGAATTATAAACCAACACCTTGTTTTTAACTGAATAAAACGTAAACCCTTACCAAATCCACTGATATGAATAGTGAAACAATTACCTAATTCATTTGTTTAATAGAACCACAGCTGAGATATACAATTTATTTTTGAAAGAATGAAGACTTCAGCGAACAAAGTTATTGACAGCGATATCGTCCTCTGCAGCTGTACGATAGCACTTAAATATGGTTAGTGCACACCATTTGATCTAAATTCATTATTCACAAATGTTCCATTCACTGAAAGTTTTTTAATGTGACTATATTAACTAAAATGCAATTAACATCAGAATACCGATGAAACATATGAAAGAACTATCCTTAAGATGTACACTTTAGCTTTAATAACGCCTTTTACTGCTAGAGAGATGGGGTCACCATTGGGTCCACTGATAGCAGATATATTTATGACCGAACTAGAAATAACCCTACTCAATCCAGTTATCATGCAGTTTAAATTCTACACAAGATGCTTCGATGATAAATTTGTTAGTTGTAACAAGAATTGTGACTTTTAGGAAGTACTTCACTCCTTCAGTGAATGTCACTACTTCATCAACTTTACAACGGAGATAGAGTCATACTTAAAGATACCATTCCTCGAAGTATTCTTAACAAGGAGAGATAATAGAAGGCTTGATATACATATTTCAATTTGCCTGCTCGTGTGGAGCTAATTGCATAAGCAGTACTCAGAGGCAGGTTGTCCAACATCGATGCCAACACCTTCCAGCATGGCTCAGTAAAGGTCAATGCAGACCAATCAACAGCTCCACATTACGACATTTCGTTGGTAGAGAACACTCACAGTTCCAATAGATTCGTTTGCACTAGTCCACAAAGTACAACGTAATCTTCTGAAGGGTGTGAGGAAACGTTTACTTTGCATTGCTGAAGCTTTGGCAACACAACAATCAAAGCCAGCATTATGCATCCAGAAGCAAGTTGGCCATTCTCAGTCCTTATTCACTTCTTAGTTCTTAAACTTCCCGATACTTAAGCTCAACTGGTCTTTTGATTTTCATTTTATCATTACTCAAAAGATTTCCGTTTAATTCAGTCACAAATTTCTCATTCCCTTGCACACTGACAATTGTTTACTCACTTTGTTACGAATCCTCTGTACTTCTTGATTTCAACTCATGTTTACACACATTATCAATAATCGAGTAATAAGTTTTGATATTTTTATGCCCAGGATGATATCTCCATAAATGAATTTGTTCGCTGCAGCGCTTATTCTTTTATGACTCAATGAGAGTAACTCAATTTCTTTCTAAGCAAAATGGAAAGCTGATGTCCACTGACATAGACTTTCGATTATCAACAATATAAAAAACACAAAGTCTGGTCAATACAATTTGATTAGCATCTCGAGCTAGCATCACTCACTCTCATAGAACAAATATGATTGGAAGTGAAATTCAGTACAGTTTTAGAGAAAGTTGTAAAGTCGTAAAGTACTACTGAAAACTCGAGATCTTACTCAGGTGAAATAGTTGACCTTCAATGAGGCAATCCAGGATTTAAGTGTGTGTAAAAAGCCTAAATAAATAAGAGTTTTTATAAGCCACAGGAAGCGTATTTCTTCAAGTACTTCTGTTGACAGGAGAGTGTAAATATATCCTGGATATTAGGTCAATTTCAATCACATGGCTGTATCAGAATCTTTTTGAAAATATAAACAAACGGCCCAAAAGATATGTGGTTTCACAACGTTTGCACAGCTGCAGTAATGCCTATTTACTTATTCATATCTCAACTTCGTATGCATAAGAAATATGTCCACCATGGTTCTGAATCTTTCATCTATCTCCCCAAGTAAATTATTAGTAACTAGTCGACTGTTATCACTTTTACAACGGTTATTATTTCCTTCTTCAACTCATAAAGGAACGGCTAAACCAAATCCAAGAGCAATTTCCACCTTGACGAATTTTATAGTTTACTCAGAACTTTCATCCTCTTGCGGATTACTATGCTATCTGTTTCCATCTTCAGAGACAGATCTCTACCTCTTGGCATCAGATTGATGAAGTAATCCAACCCTACTGACTACTAAGACATTTTTTGAGATAACTATAAACATGATTTTGCAGCTCTATATGATATTATTGATAAAAAATCATGCTTGCTGAAAAATCTCTTCTGTGTTAGGATTTCAACTTTTCCGATATCTCTACACCTAAAGAAATGAGAGGTTATTTTTCTTCCTTCTCCATTTCAGTAGACAGCTTAGGAAATGTAAAATAATAGTTGCATAGATGACCTAGACATATTCTTCAAAAAAAAAACAGGGAGAAATTGCAGAATCTATAGATTAAGTGACTGTTTAACAACTGCTATTTTAATACGGTGTTCATGTTTGAATGTTGCAATGATTTGCTAGACTCATACTGAGAGGAATACTTGCATTTTGAGGTCCTATCACGATAGGTCAAAGAGTGGTCAGTTTAGTGGCAGCCACTATCACTGTACCCTACTTCCATAATGATGAGTATTTAGGAGTGGAGCTGTACTATTAGTTGGAAATAAATGCTCTCAAGACCAATATTTTAAACCATGCTCCCTTTGCTCTTCAGGATTCAGAGGTTATAAAAGCCCGGCGACACGACCTTACATCCGAACTTGCTGTGCATATCTTGGTAAGGAGTGGCTGCAACTTCAAAACACACCACATTCAAGGTACCTCATTTAACCAGAAACAAGCATATGATCTTTTGGCTCTTTATGCAATGTGAAACCAAATTTCAGTGTAAATTTTGGATATTCTGAAAGTAGCGATAAAATGTTTTGAATGAATTTATAAGTGAAGTCTGCTGGCAACAAATAGTACGCAGTTTGAATACTTATCATGGAATCGATGGAATAAAGTGAAGTAATAAAGAGATTAAAAGGCAACAGGGAAATAAAGGACAATTCCGTGGCCAACTATGTAAAACAAAGTTTAAAGACCAATATTCCAAAGCACTGGCATACTTACAGAACTTGGTGTAAGTAGAGATTTGTACGCTGTTTCTCCAATAACAACTAATTTGTCGCCAGGAATACGTAAACGTCACCATGCTAGAACAAAACCTGAGCGGTTGCTCATTAGTTAGTCACTAGGTGGTTCCTAAAGACACAGTTTGCTCCTCAGCGTTAGTCAGGAGCTGTGTTTCAATGGTCTAGACATCCGACTCCCAAAACATGGGTCACAGATTCGAACCCAACTCCACCTACCAAGGTTTGGAAATTCAGGTAGAATCATGAGTTCTCATACAATAGGTGTGGTTCATTGCCTACTGTTCATATGAGCACAAGGTTCCTGGGTGAGTTTAGGATATCTTTTAGGTTAATCAGGATATTTTTGATCAATAAGTCAAATTTATTTATTAGACACACATACATTACGCAACAGGTAAATGACTAGTTGTTATGACACACTGTATTTCCATTTTTCACACCGGTATTAATCAGTAGAGACACATAAGGCCTACATTAATACTAAAACCCTTGAGACCAAATCTATTAGCTATATCCCAGTTTACTACTCAGATGAATGCTTCTTAAAATTTCCCTAAGATAAAGACCCAAACAGGTAAGTAAGAATTTCTACCTCACTGGTATATAGACAGAGATTAAAAATAAAACGGATGATCAAACATGATAACAACATCAATTTACTAAGTTTATCATACCGACGGTCGATTTCACATTCCTTTCAAGGAGAACATCTTTAGGTGGTGGTAGAGAGGCAATCAAAGCAGCACGCTTGTTTTCTGCATTGCGGACCTCTTTAATCCTTTTCTCGGACTCTTCTTTGATAATTTCCTGAGCTCGTTTTTCTTCATGAAGTTTGCTTAACGCGAAATTAAACCGATCTTCGGCTCGTGTTTGAGACAAACATAAGTTCCGTTCCATTTCAGAAGTGGGATCATGCTGAAACAAACAAAGGGGACACTTTTGCAATCTCTTGTCTTTACATTAATAAGTTCTATTCTATAAGAATAAGACACGATGTGTCTATAAAATACACTAAACAGTTGTTATACACAGTGATGGACAAATAAACTGAGGTTATAAAAACTAACCAGCACCTACAAAACTAAATGCCACAATTCCCGCTGCCAAAAGTGACAGAAAATTTATTCTGACCCACCAGGGTCAAGTAGCTGCTAGAATGATTCATCTAGGAATCAGCTAGCTTTAAAGGGAGCATAAGAAGAAACTTTCTCCATCCGGTAATGGCACAAGCTTCTGTTTAATAACAACGAAATCCTGTTGAGCAAGTAAAAGAAATGCATAAACAACAAATCTTGACACCTTCGGGAAACCTTCACTAACTAATACGAAGTATCAGTAGCTTATGCATCTGGAAAATATTAAGACGCAAAAGAACTATCATTCAAAATGATGTCAGTAAGAATGAAGTGCTTACTGCAAGTTATTAAACATACTATAGCCAGGCATTAAGTTAAACCGACAATTTAAAGGGTGAATAAATAAATCTTCTACTTGGACAGTAGAACATCCAGTAAGCTAGCATCCAATATCCACCGACTTCATGCAAGAGCTTTCAACGTCCGAACTCTATGCCATATCGGACAGCACGTATCGCACGTCGAAACTCTGGAATCTCTAACCATGGATGTATACGGAGTCCCTGAGACGCGTATACAGCACTGGAATGTGATTATTAGATTGACATCACCTGGTTATAGTAGTGCATCTTCAAAATCCCCCATACGAGTATCCACAGACACAATGACCAGCTCTCTTGGACTCGCTGGTGTAGGCATAGCATTAATTCGTACAGCAGAAAGTGCTTTCCTCGAATGGCTTCCATTAAACAGCCGTCTATGTGCTGTTCGACTGAATGGATCTGTAAGGACTATGAAGGATCGTGAAACTAGGCGATGCCTCTTCGTAATCTTCGCCCACGCACCCACTGGCTGTAGTTTGGATGATGCAAAGGATGAATTCTATGAGAAGCTATCAATTTTACTACAGTAAGCAAGACGTCCAGATGTGGTCATAATGGCAGATGACCTCAACGCTCAAGTAGGTAAGTTAAGCCGATCGGAAAGGCATCCTGGAGGTATCTACGGAATACCATGGGTGGGTAGCGAAGGTGAAAGAGATGGAGAAGACACTGGCGTTGAGTAACACTTGGTAACTAATTAGGCTTATCGAGGATATCAAGAAAAAGATGGTGGTGAGTGAAACCAACACCGAAAAGGATGAAACACTGATCACCTCTCAGGATGGGCGGCTAGAATATCCGGCAAAACACTCTGAAGAACATTTCAACTGTTTCTTAGCAAAGCTTCAGTTGCCCAACACAGCCCGAACCTGAAAGGGGCGTAGATCTCTGTAAGGGCCTATGGAGGGTTGTCATATGAATTAACGACAAATACGGGTGTCCGGCAAAGATGTTCAGTGTCGCCGTTCTTACTTAACTTCGTCATAGAAGTACTAATGGACATAAGATTAGGTACGTCTGACTTCACAGGGATCGACCTACTCCCTGGAATATGCAGACGATTCCGCCCTACTAGGTGAAGACGCTGACGAAATAGAGTCTTCTGGACACGGGCAGGAATCTGCATATGTTTGGCACGCGTCTCGCACCTATCAAATGTAAGATGATGCTTCAGGACTGGTGTGCAACCACTCCCCGTTTAATGATAGGGAGGGAAGTGGTAAAATGTATCGACCACTTCACTTACTTGGGCGGTTGCACCAGCCCGATCGGGTTGGTTGCTGAAGAAATCTTATCTCGGATACAGAAAGCTTGTTTGGCACTTGCTAACTTGTATCACCTGTGGCGTCAGCGAGACATCCAACTATCTATCAAAGGACGAGTATACTGCGCTGCAGTCTGTTCTGTCCCAATGTACGGCTGAGACATGGCCGTTAAAAGTGGAAGAAATGAAGGGATCATAAGGCTTTGATCACATATGTCTTTGCAGTACTACTCGTGTATGGTGGAATCACCGTGTGAGCAATATTGAGGTAATGCGAAACGTACTAAGCAAGACAGGTAAGTCAATTGACGGGGTTGTTAACGTTAGTCGACCGAGATGGCTTGGACATGTATTGCGCATGCTCAGTCACCTCTTACCTCGACGTGTTATGCTAGTGGAAGTTTGATTAGGATGGAAAAGGGTTCACGGTGGCCATACTAAGACGTGGCACCAGTCGACGAAGTCCCTGACTGTTGGCTTGAGCCGTATTGGGAGATGTAGACTGCCTCGTTGGGGTCCCTGAGATGAAAGCAGCCAGCGGTTGAGGACACTTGGTGATATGGCTGATAATCGGTCACAGTTGCGCAGACATATTCACTCATTGACGTTTTCTAAGTCTTGAATATTTACACTAACCTCCATCTTCAGATCATTTATTCTCTAACGCAATTTTATTTACTCTGATATCACTTTTTCTACCCACCTGTTTTTCATATACTATTGTGAAGTGTGACAACTTAGGCCGGTGCAAACCTGTGCGGGGTCCCACATTGATTTTGTCAGTCAGTCAGTCATCTTAGACGTAAATATATACCATCTACCAAACCCAAAACTACGTTGAGTGGACTGGGATATCAAGCTTCAACAAAGGGGTAACTCATAGATATGACAAACATGAATGACAACAATATTGTATCCTTTTGGATATATCGCTAAATCTCAATCGAAAGAAAACCAAGTTTTATGCACAAATACCAAAAAAAGGTTAACGTGCAGCGGTGATAAAACCTCGAATAGATGTTGCAAAAGTCATTTAGCGTCGACCCGACTTTCAGTCCCGATAGAAAGGTGACAGATAGACAAACAAGATCAACATACGACCAGGTATTACTGCGTTACGGTTCAAGTTACCACACCACATCGGTATATCACGCAACAAAGCACTAGGATGAAGGACAAAGAAAAAGTGAAGTAAATAGTCAAAGTGATAGATAGTCGTGATAAGATAACAAGGAGGAATAATAAGTCATGGAATTCACTATGACGATAAAGATGAAGATAATGTATAGATACACCTGTACCACTGAGATCGATTTTCAGCGATGCCACTTAGTCTCCAACCACTCGTTTCTGGTTTCGCTTTTTCCTACACAGCTCAAACCAACAGTCGAAAATTTCATATAATGAATCCATATTTTAGTCTGGTCTCAATTAACCTTTATCCAGTTTAAATCTACTTTGTCTAACATTGTGAGACGAGGCGGATGCGGACTAGGCATGCATAACAAATGCCCCAGCCATCTCAGTCAATGACGGTTCACAATCACCAACTAACTCATCTCTCCTACCTAAAACTACACACTTAACTCCTACATTACTGAAACACTGACACCACAAAACACGGACTATGATGCGAAGGCAACAATCGTCGAACACCCGAAGCCTCATGTCCTCTACCTTTATTGACTATGTTTCACAATCGTACGTCAGAACAGAGCGGACTGAAGCACAACATACCCGACCCTCAATAGACAATGGGATATCGTGTTGGTGCCATAAGTTGGCAGAAGCCAAGCGAGACATTTGTATGCGTACTGAGATTTTGTCGCCCAATGATCCATCAGGGTTGGTCCGACTACCGAAGCAGGTGAAATAGTCAATATACTCAACCATTTTACTTCTTGTTATATAGAGCACCACTGAAGACCACTCCTGGAACAACAATTTGCATTTGCATGGCACGAAACGCGTCCCAAACATTCTCACATTGTCATTCAAGGTGTATAGAAGACTCAGCATATTAACCTAACAGGGCTATGTCACCTGAGTAGACTACATCTACCAAGGATTCCTCTGCCACAGGACCAATCCCTGTGAAATTAGACGACGAGAGCGAGACCTCTATAAGTATGTCTATGATAAAGTTTAATAAGAATGGAGAGTGAGTATCTTTGACGAATATCACTTGACGCATAAAATTCACCTGACAGTTCACCATAAGCCGTAACACGTCCGCTCCTCTCAGTGAGACACTGGCATAACACTTTTCGACCAACGGAGTCGAGTGCCGAACTCAGGTCGAAAAATGCAGCTACTTTCACGTGTCAGTGTGCTTGTGGTCCGGAACTTTTGGACGGTGAATATCTGGCTGAAATACTTACGACCAGGTCTGAAGCCTACCTTGTTTTCTCGGGTTCGCTGTTCCTGACCTGCACCCAGAAGTCTGATTACAAAACCCAGAATATCATACTGCTTATATCAGGCTGATTCCTTTGTGTTCATCATAGGACTTCTCATCTTCCTTGAAGATCGGGACAAGCAGTGATTGAGATCAGTTAGAAGGGATCATATCTGATTTCCATACGTTGGTTAACTCGACTTAACTAGTAATTGTCTACCATCACCTTCAATTACCTCTCATACTAGTTCGTGAGAACCTGCTACCGTTCCTCATTTCAGGTTAATTACACTTCTCTAGACTTCTGGAAGTGTTATACGCCCTACCTTAATGTTCCATTCAAGATCAGACTGGATAGCGGCCAACGGAATAGTAAATAGAAGCAGTTGAAATGTCCTTCAAAGTATTTCGATCATCGTTTCAGTCGTGTTCCCTGCTTGGAAATCGTAAACCCATCCTTTTGCGCTATAGTTTTACTAGCCACTTATCTTGTCGCCTGTTTCCTTGATAAGTCTAAGTAGCTGCTTACTGTTACCTATTGCCACTACCTTTTCCATGTCTTTAGTCTTTACTACCTACCACTGTTCGCGATCATTGCGTAGACTTCCTGTCAGTCTACATTTGAGTTACTCCCGCTTCTTTTTGTGCCCAGAACCTGCAGGAATGCGCTAACATGCATCAATTAATTCAGTAGCAGCAGCCACTAATACTGTTTTGACAGCGGACTGGGTGTGGCGCCAAGCTAGATGAGTGGTGTTTTTCTGTTTTGACGACTGCTCAGTCCAGCTAAAAGCATTCTTAGTGCTCTCTGTTGAGCTGTACTTGAAACAGTTTTGTTGATATGGCTATTTTACGTCCATTTAGGCGCAAACAAACCCGAACTTGAACCAACACATGGTTTCTGTCAAAACACATACTCCAGAAGGAGCGACAATCTTTCACCGACCCTCTCCAGCGATAGCTGATAACAATATGGGTCGACCGCTGAGTTAAGTTAGATGGACACTAAAGCAATTTCTCTGTTTATGTCTGAAGTTCGGGCTGACCAGAAATAGATGATTATCTGGGCACAGCCGTAGCAGACGATCATCGTTATTTGTTTATTTTGGATTCCAAAAATTCCATCTAAATGCCCTTCTGTCTGAATCAATTTATCCAATTGAGCATTAAAATCGCCTGCTACGACAAACGCATCTGTACGTTTGGCTTTCAGTAGGATACCATGCAATCAAAACCCATTGCCAAGAACATAAATCAACAGTGGGTCAGACTTTTTCGGGTTTAAAGGTTGGTTTCTGTGGGACTTCTTCATGATACGAATATTGTGGCACTACACGGCGGGGAATGGTCTGAAATCTATAACGCAGTCAAGCCATAATCAATAAGGGTTCTCAAACCTGTCCAAATACATAAACCTCTTGTAGAAAAATTCGATTTTTATCTAGATTTTTCTCCCCCATGATTTTCTAAAGAACGAATGATTTTTTGAGGGTATCGGTGATCACGTGGATAGCCTTATAAAATTCTGGATGACTATCTGAAACATACAGTAACACACAAAAAAACTTGTCTGTTTTGCAGCTGATTCCGGACTGATGCATAAGAACGAGATATCAATTCGGAGAAACACCGACGGAGTGACTGCGAAACACCAGACCAAAAATCAAAGTATCCCGTAGTCCACAAACTATATTTGGAGAATGTCTAAGAAATGGAGCATTTCAACTTTAAATTAGGAAACCATTCAGTTGGTTAGTAACAACGTTATACTTAAATGTGATTGCATCGCATAAAGAGTGGTATAGCCATTTGGTAGGTCTCATTCGAAGAGATAGTTGACAGGTGAAACCAACAGGGAGCTTTTAAAAGTTTCGCATACAAACAACCGATCACCTTCGGGAATTTGACACTCCAAGAATTCGAAGAGTCTGTGCAAGTCCAGTGATGTTTTTATACTTGGCCAGCTACCTAGGTGTCTAAAATTACAATACGGCTCAGTTCGCTAACAGTATCAAAATCCAGTCTCACAAGATTTAACAACAAGCACACCTTGAACTGGTAAGCAGATTTATGGTAATGCACTACCCAACCTGAAACAAAACGCCTTATTTTCAAATCGCAAAGCTGGAGATTACAAAGTATACGACATACTTAGTGTTGCCGATTCATGCCGTTGATGTCACGGAAAGCTAGAAAAAACTTGCGATGAAATCTGAGGCAGTATGAAGCTAAGAGAACTAATAAGGATTTAGACGAGAGAAAAGCGACTCATTATTTCATGCATGCAAGCTTAAGTTAGAATATTAGAATGAAACATAACGCATACAAATGTGAAGAGGTGAGTGAATTTCATAATTCTTTTCCTTTTCTATGTGATACAGCTCAGTTATAAATTGATTCTCGTTGGATTAAATTTACTGGACAATTTAGTTGTCCACAACCATATTAAAGTAGTTATAAAGCAGTCGAAAATTTATCTATCCTGGAACTTTAAGCTCCTAACATAATATGTAGTACCAAGAACCAGTTCAATATTATTGCTCATAATTTGCATTATTAATCCGCTTTGAGGGACATAAATTTAAATATTACCCATTTCTTTGCAGATTTCTGACCCATACCAGACTGACTAATCACGTTGTAGTACTCTGCCTTCTTTTCTTCCAACAATCTCATATCCTCTTCCATACGCTTAGTCTAAAACATTAGAACGACGGAACTGCATTACCTGAAGGTCCTTTGCAATAATGTCTGACAGCTGTTGTTTCTTTGCATCATATAGCTTTCTAACCTTTATAGCATTTTCTCTTGCTTGTGTTCGAACCTAGTGAGTAATTATGAAGTGTCCTCAAATTACTTGTAAGATCCTCAGCTTTTTTCGTCGCTCTATTTCTCCTTGCTTTAGCTGCTTAATCTCTGAAACAGATGGACCATAGGCGTACGTAGGGTAATCAAACATGTGGGAAAGCCTGTAGCCAATACAAACTTCAAAACCGTACAACAACTACAAAGGTCATGTTTCCAACACTTTATGCCAAAAAACAAGCAATTTCAAGACGTGGTCCTCATCCTTATAAAGTGACAGTCGTAAGACGTCTTATGATACGGTATGAGTAGTTTTCGTAAATCATTTTAACAAAGGTCGAACGTCAAAACCTCCAATTCCTAATATCTTTTTACGAGCCAGTGCAAACCAATTGATTTCTTCGCGCTCGCTTCTAGGTCTTACTGAACGGTTCCAGGTCTTCGGTGGACTTCGATGCAGTAGGTCTACCCACTCGACTGCTGTAGCTCTGGTTAGCCCAACGGGCGGTTGGGTGTTGGTTAAATTTGTAGGGAGTGTTGTTTGTTTTTGTGTTTTTTCTTCCAAGGACTGTGGTGCAAACTTTGTGTGTGGAAACAGCGAATGATGGTGCCCTATATTCCACGTCTGTCTTGATAAAATAAGTTCTAGGTTTGGAAAGGCCACTTGTTGCCTTGGATCAAAGAAACCTTAAAGTTCACAGACGATCATTTTATGGTTTACATGCTCCAGCTGACAATGAGTAGACCTGGACCATCAAGCGTGGTATCTCATGCTGTAATCTGGAGAGATGAACACTAAGGTGATCATCAGGGGGAGCGATTTTTCACGTTCAGCTAGGTTCTTGCCATTTTTTATGCTCACACACCTAGGGTTGTTGTGTTTCGCCCTATTCAGAATATTACTCGATTAAAGTGAAACAGAGACTTTTGCTGGGTGAAGTTCTGTATCTTCTGCTACATGATGAGCCGAAAAAGTCGTAAAAATGCTTGTGATAGGGCAGGGTGCCATTTCACGGTGGCCTCTGGCATGCAGTGTAGCGACCGTAAATGTTAGTTCCGCGACAACTGCACCAGCCTCACACCCTTGACATATGAGAGGTACAGTAAGGCCGGAAGTGTCTGGCTTCGCACTTTGTGCTGCTCGGATATCCACGCCCTGGTGGAAGATGCGAAAACACTTCGAAATGCTAAAACTAAGGAACTAGCATCGAAAGTCAAAGTCGATAACTGTGTCAGTGATAACGACACAACATCTATTGATGCACATATTGTTGTGCATAATTTTAGGAACATCCCACGACAAACTGTAAGTCGGGCTCGTTGACTGGTTACTAGGTTTGCTTAAAGCGACTTGGAAAAAGCTACAAAAAGCAGGGTGAAAGGAGTATCTTCCGTTTCCCGCATTCCAGGACTGGTAGACCCAGTCTGAAAACTGCTGACCATAAGACTAGGTCTGCTTCAGATGAAGGAAACAGGAGTGAAGAACTCTCAGTGCCAACTACGGAACCGTGCAGGTTGCAGGCCATATCCAATTTGGCGAGCCAATCATTGACAAGAACCAGACGGAATGGGATACAAGTTCGTCAAGAGGCTGTCAGCATCGAGGCCACTGGACTAGGCTTTGGTGAATCATGGATAGCTGACTCTGGAAGTGGCAAGTAGCTAAGTCTAAGCGGCATATTAGGAAGCCAATAACGGCCGTCTAACCGGCTATCATCACTCCACACAGCAAGGACAAAGTACAGCACCTTGACATGTCCGTAATCTTCCACAGATTGGAATACAGTAGGTACCCAGAACAACGTAAAAGCTTCGAACATGCCATTGGGAAGTTACAAAGTTTGATAAATGAGCTTTTGCAGAAAAATATTCCAGGAGTTACCCCACTCAAGATATGTAGAACAGGCAAACAAGAGACAGTCATTACTGAAAACAAGTTTCCGCTTCTCAGAGTCGTGTTCAAACCAGCAGAAGGGGGGATCAGATTCTGAAGAATGCTCACGGACTTCAAAGATCTACAGCTTTCGAGCAAAAGGATATGGCTGTTGCTGTTGGAATCAGAAATGAGAAGTAGAAGAGGAACTTGAACCCAGATTTGCAGCTGGAGGGCAAGATCCGAAAGTAGTGGATTTTCTTGTGGTGAGGTTTCGACAACAAATGATCCCGAGGCCTCTATGGGTAGGACGGAAACACATTTAAGTAGTTGCGTTGTTTTGTACACACACGCACGTAGCCTTGTGAACAGGTGACCTAAACTTAGTAGCCTGATAAACAACGAAAGTTCCGCCATCGTTGGAATCTCAGAAACTCGGCGCTCTTCTTGGGTGAGCGACTGTGAAACACACGAGGACCCATCCCCTCTGGAAATGACGCGTTAGCACGCAAAGGTGGTTGTGTCATTCTTCACGTTAAGAATACCTTAACTGAGAAAGCCATAGGAACAGCAGCACATGAAATTGGGACATGTGAAATGCTGCGATGCCTACTAGGATGCCAGGGGCAGGATGTTAACCTAGTCGTAATATATCGAAGTCTTGAATGTGAGGCAGCAGACTTCCTCCTGAACGGGCTGACCCTCTGGACAGATAAATGCCGATGTCTAGCTGTGGGAGATTTTAACACACATCAGATGACTGGGATAGACTGACAACAAATGCACCACGTAACTCGTTTCATCGCAGGTTAGTGGAAACATCAACTTCCTCAGACCTCTTAAAGCACATTGTGACACCAGCCAGATATGATCATCAGCATGCTCCATCAGTTCTGGGCTTAGTATTCTCACACACAGGAGATGTATGCTTCATCCAGCACCTAGCACCCCTTGGTAATAGTGATCACACTGTGATCACCTTAAGATTCACAGCAGACATCCTGTGCCGGGCCTATGCCCCGCCTAAACCCAACATATGGAGGGCGAACATGGAAGTTATTAGCCCAGCAGCCTCTTTGGAGGACCGAACAGTCAATCCAAAAGCCTCAGTTGAAGGTGCGGGGTGCTTCGTCAGAGTTATATGTTAATAATAACTATATTTATTCCTGAATATACAGACACGCCATTTCTACAAGTATGGATAAGTTCCTATATGAACGGAATGTCTTTGTGGAAGGTAATCTCAATCCCCATTTTTTGTCACTATAAGATATAAGTGCTACACGTTCACATAATGGAACATCCCAGCAGAATAAGTGCACGAAAATTAACAAGTTTAACAAGTGGAAGTACTACCTTCAGATTAACCAAAAAACAGATTTATATCTCGACACAACAGATGTTACCCGGGGAAAAAAGATGAAGCTTGAGGCTTATCTATAATATAATAATAATAATGATAAATTTTTACTTTCACATTAGTAACTTAACATGAGAAGCCAGTTTACAGGCATCATTACATTGATGTATGTCGAAAAATCTAAAAGATTTTACGGGTCCTGAATAGTACAGAGGGGAGGTCGTTTAGCTCCATCAAAAACGTCAGATCGCGGTTACTTCCATTGCAACAGTCCTTACTTTTTGTTTGAGGCAATGATGAAAAGTTTATGGGGGAATGTATGCACAAAATGTTTACTTATTTTACCTCACTGATGATTCCAGAACTGTATAATTCATGTATGATAATACCACTCCACATCAGAGATTCATAATCTTGATGAAAGTTATGACTGAGAGCCAAATACCTTCACTTTTCCAACTATGGGATCCAGAGGCGATCAGCTTGTTTGAATGTGCCAGGTGGACTTCCAGGGCATCTTGTCCGCCGTTTACACCGGTCGCGACAGCCTTGTGGCCAGTAAGCGTTGAACTTTCGTGGTCACTTTTATAGTGAGCGAATCCTAGATTTAGGTAAATACGAAGTTTTAGTCCGGTGAACATTTTTCATTTTTGCTTCTTGCAGTTGTGCACGAGTGGCCCAACCTTTTATTCCGTGGGCTGGTCCGAGAATACAGAAACACTGTCCTACGCGGATAAACCACGAAATCCGAATCCCGCTACTAAGTAAGAAAGTGTTAGGGTCTTGCCGCCTACCCCGATACATCCGAAGTGGTAAAGCATTTCGAAGAGGCCTGAAATAAATGTATGACTGCTATCCAGCGGTCTCCAGTATGCTCTGAAACATATCTTGTTCGGGCCGCACTGTAACACCCGAAGAGGTTATTTTCTTACATGAGCTACAGAAATAAGATGTGTTGTTGTGTAGCCGCCCTTATCAGAGGGACAGAAACTGACTGTTTGATTGAGGACGATAGGTGAAAAGCAGAAGTCATGGCCGGATATTTTGGTGAGGTCTTTACACAGGAATCTTTCGTGGACACTTATACAGTAGTAGAAGCATTGACATCCAACAGAACAAACTTTGTGGATATCGGTCGCAATGATGCATCTCGGATATTAAGTAATCCCGACGTGGGAAAATCAACGGGACCGGATGAGCTGCACCAAAGGCTGCTCAGAGAGCTCGCACTTTATATAGCCTGCCCACTGACTACCATATTTAGACTGTCTCCCAGTGATGCCAAACTCCCCTTTGACTGGAAGGATGCCACAGTAGCACCTATCCACAAGGGAGGTTATAGGCAGCACCATCAGATTACGGACCGTTTAGTTTGATTAGTACCGCGATAAAAATCCCAGAAAGAGTAATTAAAAGAGCCATTACAGTCCAGCTAGATAGCAACACTCCACTGTCTCGTTCGTAGCATGGCTTTCGCGGAAATTTCTCTTGTTTGACAAACCTCCGTACCATCAGAGAAAGTTGGGTTAGGCCTAGAGGTGATAGGGATACCTGTGGATGCCATTTTTATGAACCTTGGTAAGGGGTTCGACATATACCCCGTCCCAGGTCGCTCGGAAGACTGAGAAGTTTTGGAATCAGTGGCAGTCTGTGTAACGGAAAATTGATCTGAAAATCCCTCCCGATCACCCTTATTTGATTGCGTTGACATTTATTTTAACATTTTACCCTCGTTATGGATGGTGTATTTTTGACCCCAGCCGGCGTAATGTTATTTGGTTGTTTGACTGTCTCATTTGACTTTGCACTCGGTATTTGCCTTTGTATGTTTGAGACTTATTATGAATGTATCACTTTCTTATTATGTGACGCCGGACTCTTGACAAGGTGATGTTTTACTGCGCCCGACATTTCGTTTTGGTTCAACTTACGGTTGTGCAGTGATTTGACTGTTTGTCTTTTGACTGTCTACTGGAAACGTTTGTTTGTTGATTTGATTCCTGTAGGCAGAGTTTTGATCCCTTTTGTCGGGAATATTCCTATTGACCGACAGGTACTTAACAGTTGCATTTATTTAACCAATTTTTACAGTGTAGCCCGTGTTTGTGCCCGAGAACGTTTTGGACTGTATAGTTATCCAGCGGCACTGTTGAGGCATTTTTGTAA